ATGGGCGAGACGGCTTTGATCGTGTCAGAAGCCAAGTACTGCTACGGAGCTCAGGGCAGGTGAGAGTGGCAGCACATCAGGCGCAGCAGGGTGGTCCCAACCAGGGCTGGAGAAGCTGTCCCCTGCTCCCCTGATGACAGCCCAGCTGTCCAACCTCTGTTCCCCACCAGCAGCGTTTCCTACCTCGAGCGGAACGATCCCCGTCATTCCCTGCCCCAGGAACCTTCCCTGGCTGGGATTGCTGAGCCACGGTGCTGAATCCACCCAGCCCAGCATCTGAGGGGTGACAATGGTCCCGTGGCTTTGTGCAGGAGCCCTGACATCCCCCCCAACGCGTCCCTGACGCTGGAGGTGGAGCTGCTGGCAGCTCGGGACGCGCCGGACCTGGAGCTGCTCAGCGGCAAGGAGAAGATCCAGCTGGCCAACCGCAAGCGGGAGCGCGGCAACTTCTTCTACCAGCAGGCAGATTACGTGCTGGCCATCAACTCCTACGACATTGCCCTCAGGATCGCGGGCTCCAGCTCCAAAGGTAGCTTGTCCCCACCGGGAGAGGGGCGCTGGGCTCCTGGCCCGGCTCTAACCTGGCCTCGGGCTGTGTGCAGTGGATTTCAGCCCTGACGAGGAGGCCGAGCTGCTGGACGTGAAGGTGAAGTGTCTCAACAACCTGGCGGCCTCGCAGCTGAAGTTGGACCATTTCAAGGCAGCTCTCAAGTCCTGTAACCTCGTGCTGGAGCACCAGCCGGGGAACATCAAGGCTCTGTTCCGGAAGGGGAAGGTGAGGAGGGGAGCCTTGTGCGCGGTGTGGGGGGCTGAGGGACAGCTCAGCCCTGCTCCTCCATCCGTGTGTCACCCTGCAGGTGCTGGCTCAGCAGGGAGAGTACAGAGAGGCCATTCCCATCCTGAAGGCAGCCTTGAAGCTGGAGCCTTCAAACAAGGTAGGCTGGAGGTGTGTGCTGCCCGTGCTCCCCCTGAGCTGGGGATCTCCTGCGTGCTGCTTCTCTATTGTCTGTGTCCCTACAAACCTCAGCGTGTCCCTGGGAGGCTGAGACTCCCTGGAGCTGTCCCCAGCTCCGTGGAGGGAGGCTGGGAACAGCCCCCAGAGCCTGGGGAGCGATGCACCACGTGGAGGGTGGCTGGGCTGCTTTCCAGCCTTATCTCCACCTTGTGAGGTTCCCCGCTGACCTTTGGTCCTGCTGGTGACAGGACTCCCTGCCAGCCCATCCGAGCTCCAGCCGTGCCCTGGGGAGGGTCCAGGCTGCCCCAGGTGGCTCGGGCAGTTTGTGCTGTGGTTGGGGGAAGTGGAGCAGAGCTGAGTCCCCACAAACTCGCTGAGCAGCCCCGAGAGTGAATCACCGGGTGCTGGGAGCAGCCAGAGCTCGGTCCAGCGCCCGGGCAGGGCGAGCTCTGGGTCAGGAATTTCCTGTCAGTTAATGATCAGCTGCAGGACTGGAGCCTCGGGAGAAATCAAAAACCAGTGCCAGGAAATGACCCCAGCAGGAGCGAGACTGGGAGGAGACAGGGAGGTGTTGCCTGCACAGGGTCGTCCTGGGGGTCTTGGCTCTCCAGATGGGCTTTAAGCCTCTCCTGGATCTCTTGTGTCCATTTCTTTCATGGGAGGTCCACCAGACCATCAGGATCTGTGTCAGGATCCAGTCCCTGAAGGTCACGGGTGAGATGTGGCACAAGCAGGTGCCTGGTGGCCCCACAGCACCTTTGGGGTGATCTGAGCACCCTTGGAAGGGCGAGCAGGGCCCCAAACCCTTCCTTTGCCATCAAGGTCAGGGTGGAGAGGGAGCAGCACTGGGAACCATTCCCCTGGCACGTCCCTGGGCAGGGCGGCTGCTCCCCAGTTCCGATGGAGCTTTTAATTGGAGAGGGCTGGAAAATCCGAATGCCCGGCAGTGACGTGTCCAGCGAAACCACAAGTACAGCAAATTACTGCCCTCCCCGGCTGCTGCCCGGGCTCCAGGCAGGCGTGGGTGACTCAGGGGCCGCAGCTACCGGTGCTGAAAACACTCCAGAAATGCTGGGCTCCACCGGCCTGCTCACAGACATCCCTTCTCCTGAGCCCTTGGAAGCGTTCTGGGGGTGCTGGTGGTTGTGTGACACTGATGTGACAGCCCCGGGGAGCTCTGAGCAGGAGCATTCTGTCCTGCAGACGCCCAGTTTTCGTGTTGGAGGCAGCTTTTCCCAGCGTGACAGGGCTGGCAGGGCCGGCGTTCCTGGGATGTGTCCCCCAGCAGAGGGCACAGCGTGGCTGTGCCACCAGGGCTGTCACCACGTCCTTCTCCGAGGTGCTTCCTGCTGCTTTTGGGGAACCTGTGGGCCCCACGCAGGACTGGGAGCCTTTTCCTGCCCCAGCAGGGCAGGTGTGGACACGCTGCGGGTCCTGCTGCAATCCCACTTCACACCCGCTTTCCCAGCCTGCTTCCAGACAGAAAGTGGGGGAGCTGGTGCATGTCTGTCCTCAAGGCAGACACTTTCCTGTCTCGATTAAAGGATAAAATCCCTTTCCTGATGTCTGGCATCAGCCCTGGGCTCTGCTCCCTGCTGCCAGGCAGGGAGTGGCTTGAGCAGCCAAAAAGGACAGAGGGGCACTGGACCCACAGAGTGTTCCCTGGTGCAGCCCCATGGCGTTGGACACGGGGCAGGATGAGGCCTCGTCACCCCCTCAGCCCTTTTGGAGCTTTTCCTGCACATCCCAGGGGTGGTGGAGCGTGCTGTGGGTGGCAGGTCCCCTCCCTGGGATGCTGCAGGGCTGACAGCAGCACGCTCTCCTCCCCAGACCATCCACGCTGAGCTCTCCAAGCTGGTGAAGAAGCACGCGGACCAGAGGAACGTGGAGACGGAGATGTACAGGAAGATGCTGGGGAACCCCAGCACCGCCAGCACCCCCAGGAAGTGCAAGGACAAACTGCCCTGGGTAAGGCTCTGGGGGGTGGGGGTCCCAGGGGTGTGCCAGTGTCCCCCAGTCCCGCAGGAGGGACGCAGCCCTGCTGCTGAGCAGGATGCGCTCGGGCTGTCAGGACAGCGATCCCGCTGGGAGCAGGGGGCCGTGCTCCGGGAGCCGTGCCCGGAAAACATCCCCGATAACAGCCCGTGCTGCTGGCCGTGCCCGCCGGGTCGCGGCCGTGCCAGCTGCGGGCTCTGGACTTTGCTCCCAGCTGCCTGTCGGGAAGCGCTGTCAGCTGGCGGCACACGCCGTCCCCAGCGCTGCCTTTTTGGGATGTCCTGTCCAGCAGGCAGGGCAGGCGGGGTGGCACATGTCCCCTGCCACGGCACTGCCCCTGACGTCCCCGTGCTCTGCCCCGCAGTCCATCCCCTGGAAGTGGCTCTTTGGCGCGACGGCCATCGCGCTGGGCGGCGTGGCCTTGTCCGTGGTCATCGCGGCCAGGAACTGAGGGTGGCACCGGGCGGCCCCTTGGCACAGCTCCTGCCTCTCCGTGCCCAGGGGCTGCCCCGAGGCTCTGCCACCCCTTCCCGCTCCAGGAGCACGGATGCTTTCTCTGCCGGCGGGGCCGGATCTCTCTGCCGGCGTTCCCCACATCCCTCCTGGCACGGGTGGGTGCAGCTGTGGGCAGGGACCCCCGGGCAGCCTCCCTGCCATCCCAGCCCCGAGGGTGGCACCGGTAGGTCCTGGCCGTGCCCATGCCGGGTGTTGGTTGTGGTCCTGCTGCCAGGACAGGGTGGGCACGGGGAGGAGGCACAGGGAGAAGGAAGCCGTGGGAAGCGGTGTGGATGTGCCCAGGGGCAGACGCAGCGACATTCCCTGATCCCTGGGGGGCTGCCAGGGACTCAGCCCTCCTGGAGGCACCCGCTGCCCTCCTCTGCACATCCCCCGAGCGTGCAATGTCCAAAGGAAGCCAAAGAAACCCGTGGTGGGAGGGATGGAGAGGGGAGCGCTGGAGACCCCCTGTCCTGGCTGTCTTCCCGTGGGTCCAAGCCTGTCGGGGGTCCCTCCCTGCCCTGCCGCTGCCCAGCCTCAGCTCTGCTCATGGGGGGGTTGTAGCACTGTCCTTGCACCCCAAACTGACTGTGAACTCCCCAAATAAAGGACAATTCCTTCACATTCAGGCCTGTTTATTGCCACGCATGGGGACACATAGAGTCTGGGGGGGGGGCAATGCTCAGGGGGGAGCCTGGGACACCAAAATCGGCCCTGGAGGAAGCCTGGAACCTTCAGATCTGCCTGGGGATCAGGGGATCCATGCTGGGGTGCTCATGGCTGGGGAGGTCTGCGGGGTTGGGGGGTTCATGGCTGGGGGATTCACACCTGGGGGAGTACAGGGGGTGCCCACCATGGAGAGTGATGCCTGGGGGGCTCATGGCTGGGGGCTCCAGAGGGTTCATGGCTAGGGGGTCCAGAGGGCTCATGGCTGGGGGCTTCACACCTGGGGGAGTACAGGGGTGCCCACCATGGAGAGAGATGCCTGGGGGGCTCATGGCTGGGGGATTCACACCTGGGGGAGTACAGGGGTGCCCACCACGGAGAGTGATGCCTGGGGGGCTCATGGCTGGGGGATTCACACCTGGGGGTGTACAGGGAGTGCCCACCACGGAGAGTGATGCCTGGGGGGACTCACACGCTGGGATTTCATGCCCGGGGGGTCCAGAGGGTTCAATGGCAGGGGGGCTCACACGCGGAGGTTTGATGCCAAGGGGCTGCAGCAGTTCAGAGCCGCAGGTTCCATGCCCGGGGTGGGTCAGGGGGTTCATTCCCGGGTTCATTCCCGGGTTCCCCCACCCGCCGCCCCCTCCCCACGCTCCCGCAGCGCTCCCGCCTGCACCAGACCACCCTCCCCAGCATGCCCCGCGCCTATATTTACATATCCCCGCCTCCCCCTCCCTAAGGGCCAATCCGACGCGGCGCCCGGCGTCACCCAGCCAATCGGCGCGCCCGCTGCCCACCTCCGTGCCCCAGCAACAGGCGCGCCGTGTGGGCGTGGTCGGCGGAGCGGCGCATCATGAATAATTCATAAGGAGGGGCGTGGCGGCGGCGGGCGGCCCCGGCGGCCCAGGCGCGGAGGGGGAGACGGTCCCAAGATGGCGGCGCTGCAGGCGGAGCGCGGGTACGGGCTGTCCTGCGGCCGCCTCGGCCGCGGCACCCGCGTCTCCGTCTTCCACGTCAAGCTCACGGAGAGCGCCCTGCGCGCCTTCGAGAGCTACCAGGCCTGTAAGGTACGGGGCTGGCGGGCGCGGGGCGGCGGGCACGGCCCCGCCGAGGGCGAGCGGGCGGCCGCCACGAGGCCCCCGGACGGAGCCCCGAGGGCGGCACCGGCGGGGATGTGAGGGGAGGTGAGAGGGGGGAGCTCCTCGTGAAGTGGGTGTGTGGCCTGGGGCGGGGGGACACCCTGGTGGGGGGCTGAGAGGGTGCGGAGGCTCCCGGCCGCCCCCCCCCCGTCCGTGAGTGACCGGGGAACCGGGAATGGGGGGGGCGATCCCGGTGCCAGGTGCCCGAGGGACACCGGGGGGGACTCGCGGTGCCCCTCCCGGTAACGCCCCGGAGCACCCCGGTGTGTCCCCGGTCCCCGGCAGTGTTTGCGTGGTCCCCCTGGGCCCCCCGGTAGGTGACCGGGGAGGGGTCGTGATCCTCCGCCAAGTGCCCGAGGGGCACCGGGCGGTGTCGGTGCTGCCCTCCCCGCCCCGGTGATTGCTGCGGGGACCCGCGGTGTGCCGCCACCCCGGTGGGCGAGCGGGGACCCTCGTGTGCCGCCACCCCGGTGGGCGAGCGGGGACCCCGGTGTGCCCCCCGGTGGGCGAGCGCGGACCCCGGTGTGCCCCCGGGTGGGTGACTCGGGCCCCGCGGTCTCGGTGCGGGGGTGGGCGCTCGGTGCCCCCCCGGGAGGTGACGAGGAGCTGCCGTCAGTCCCCGTAAGTGTCTGGGGAGGGGGGCGAAGGGACGTCGGTGCTCCCCCCGTTTCCCCGGTGAACGTGACGTGGGTTTCCAAAGCCGGGGGGGCGGCGGGTCCAGCCCCGGTGCTGCCATCCCGGACCGGGGGTTCCCTCCGTCGCTGTCCCCTCCCCGGGACACCCGGTTGTTCATCCCCCGCCGGCTCGGTGCTCCCCTCCCGGGAGTCGGGGGGGGAGGCACGTTCAGACTGTATTTTGAAATTTCCAGATTGTCTTTTCCGTGCCGTTTCCTTGAAATGCATCCAGAGAGCTTATTAGTAATGTAAATAGAGAATAATGGCAAAGCTCGGCAGCTGGTGTTGGGATGGACCGGAGGGGGGTTCAAAACTGTCATTTTTTAGTGTAATTTTATTTTTATTTTATTTTTTCTTTCCGCCTCTGATCCTGCGACGAGCATTTCTGTCTCCTCACCTTGCTGGGGGAAGCTGGGAGCCTAAACCCGTTTGTCATTAGGAGCGTCCTGCCTGCCAGCTTCTGTAGGATAAACCATATGTTGTCACAACACTATTTTTAATTTAGGGTGTTGGTTACATCACATCACTGAATTGGGCAATCTCTGTGTAAGGACGAAGGTAATGACTGTACCAGGGTTTATCAACTTATATTTTAATGAGTGTTTATCAGCATTATGAGAAGTCAGGAGGAATAAGCGACTTGGGTAGACTGAATTATTAGCTTTTTTTCTCTCTGAAAAATGAAACAAATAATCCAAATAATTCTTTCCTATATATTGGGAAAGCCTTTTATTTTGGGGGAGGGAGAATGGGGAGACTACAGGCAGCTGCGTTAAATATTTTGGGAAGCTATTCCGAGTCCATGTCACACATGAATAGTGGTGTTTATTTTCTAAATGAAGTCTGGGCTCAGGATTGTTTGGTGGCCAACGGCCACTAATGAACTTTGCTTCCTTCACCGCCACCCAAAAGAGGAATAGTCAGAGGCTCCTGGTGATTAACTGGGCAGGAAGGGATAAGGGCAGAAGAGCTGCTTGTTTGTGTAGTGAATAACGCAACAATTAGTGGGCTATTAAACACATATGCTCGTTCTGCATGGGTTCTATAAACAGTTTCCCCAGCTTGTTGAATGTCTCTGCTTCCTCGGAAGCGCTGGGCCCGGCCCTGCCAGGAGCCACCTCCAACACACCTTTGCAGCCTCTGTTTGCCCAGTCCAGCTCCGCTTTCATTTTGGGCTGCAGTGGTTAAATGGAAAAAATTTGCTCAGGCTCCTTCTGCTGGGTTTGCTTTGAAACGTGGTGGAACTGACGGCAGCGTTGTGTAATATGGATAATGGCCTGGAATCCAATCCTGCTCTTTGTGTTACCTGGAGTCCAGCGTGTGCAGTCTGACCTGTTTGGGGCACCGGGGTAGCACGTCCGTGCAATGCCTGCGACAAGGCTCTGTCCCTCTGCCAGAGCGGGCAGGGAAATGTCTTCAGTTCCTTGCTTGAGTTTGTTCTTGGTCTAATAATAATGTATTGGGATTACATAATCCAAAAATGATCACCCAGCTGGGCGAGCTGCCATTTGTTTGGAGTGTCCCTGGTGCCAGAGCAGTTGCAGGCTTGGTGTGGAGCTGCACCATGTGTGGATCAGGCAGCAGGGCTGTGGAGAAACAGATATTTGTCTTGTTGGGCCTCTGCTGAGCTGTGCTCTTGCGTTTCTGCTGAATTGTCTGCGTCCTAAGGAAGAAAATGGTCAGGGATCCAAGTTATGGATGGAGTTTAGAGCAGCCTGGTTCAGTGGAAGGTGTCTCTACTCATGAAAGAGGTTGAAACAGGTTGAGCTTTAAGGTTCCTCCCAGCCCAAACCATTCTGTGATTCTGAGCTATTGATCCCCAACTTTATGTTCCAGCAAGCTGTTCCTGTATTACCTACGAGGACATGGAGCTGCTGCTGAGGAGCTCCAGCTCACAGGGCTGCTGGCTTCTGATCCTGGGAGAGGTTTTGTCTGTAGCTCACCTGAAAGAAATAGGAGCCTTAAAAAGAGAATTAGCGCTGGCTTCACAGGGGACACAGTGAGATGTCACCCAACTGCTCCTTGTAAAACTTGCTGCCCCTGAAACTGTTTCCCCACAGTTGTGAAACTGAGAGCTCTGACTGCTGAGCTCAGAGGGCTGAGCAGTGGGAAGTGTGTCCCGAGTTGGTTTGTCCACTGGTGAAATGGAGGCAGTCTGGTGTGCTCACCTAAAACAGCTCTGCGTTCTCCAGGGGGTGTAATTCTAGAGCAGCTGCAGTTTGCTGCCTTCCTTTTGGGGGTGTGGATGTGGTTAGGCATTTCCACTCCCCCCAGAAAGGCAGGGCATGGCCGAGGCCAGGTTGGATGGGGCTTGGAGCAACCTGATCTGGTGGAAAGTGTGCCCTGCCCATGGCAAGGGGGTGGAGCTGGATGGTCGTCAAGGTCTTTCCAACCCAAACCATTCTGGGATTAGATGATTCTATGACTTTTCCCATCACTTCTTGTGTGCCCCCGACTTTGTTCTTTCCCCTGTCAAGGTACAAGGGAACTCCTCATGCCTGTGCCTTGCTTTCCTCTTTCATTCCTGTCCTTGGTGAGGAGGTATTTTACCATCCTCACCTAATACCCTTAGTTATCATTCATCCTTTATTTTTCACATCTGTTTTTTTAGCAGCATCCTGGGTAAGTCCCCATCTTCCTGGCCGATTCAGATGCCACATGGCAGACCGGAGTGTCCCTTGGCAGTAGCTCTGCCTCCCTTGCAGTGAAGGTGCTGATGTTCACCTAAACAGTGTTGGGGCTGTTCCTGGAACCCTTACCTGGAAATTTCCCAACTTCCACGTATTTCTATAAACCTCTCTCTGTGGTTGAGGGCTGGTTGTTTGATTACAGGCAACGTGATGCAGTTGCACGCCTTTTCCTGTCACTTTGTGTTGACCTAACCATGGGTGAACTCTGCTCCTGGTCCTGCCTTGGCTGGTGCTTTTAGGAGGGTTTAGAGAAGGTTATAGCATCCCTTGGTGATGGAGCTGAGCAGCACGTCCTGCTCCCGTTGTCCCTCTGTGCCCCTGCTACCCCAGAGTGTTTTGAACTGCAGCCACTGGTTGATTCACTGGTGAACTTTGGCAGATGCACAAATATTTATTGGGGACTAAGCTGAGATAACCAAAGCACGTTGTCCCTGTGCTCACCCAGCTGAATTTTGGGACCATGGTCTGATAGATGTGGCTTCCCAAATCATCTTCCCAGTGCTGCTCTAAAAGCAACCATGAGAGAAACAATCCCTTGGAAATGAGGGTTAACCCGACCCCTTGGAGTTGCTATTTATTGAAATAACTTTCCAGCCTTGGCTTTTGGAGCAGGTTGTGGAGATTCCTTCATCTTGCTATGTTCAAAGCAGGAAACACAAAATGAAGGCTGTGCTGTCATTACAGGGTCTTTAGGGTAATGCGTATTCATGCTGACTTGAGAATTGAAAGCTGCTTGCAGGTGTCAGGAGGAGAAGAACAATCCGGCTTTCCAATCAAAATTCATTGAATTATCTCAAAGCTTTTTGCATCATTCCTCCTTCCCTGTAACCTGTTTTTTCCTGTCCTATTAATTCACTGATGCTGTAGTCCGTCAAAATTGAGGCTCTTACGACATCGGGAACATGAGTCGGTGACATGACTGAATGAATCAGAGGAGGCTGGAGAGGAAGCTCATCGCACACGTACGGCTCATCAGCAGAAATGGGACAGGATCTGCAGAACACCCTGAACTGCTCAGCTCCTGCTCACTGTTCTTCACGCTGACCTGAATGTGGCACCTCCCTTTGGAAGGAAGGGGACAAAGAGACACTGAACATTGTGCACGGGGAATGTTTTGGCCCGTGGCAGTTTCCTTTCAATTATTTAGGGAAGCTTTTTCTCTCAACCATATAGCATTTGGATCTGCTCAAATTATAGATTCATCTCTATAGTTTTTGAAGGCATTGGAAGGAATTGTCTGTAATTTACATCTAAAGTGACATACAGTTGCTATGGGATTTGGTGGCACATTATAAACCCATTATGCTTTTTTTTATATTGGTGGTAGCAGACTAAAGAACTAGGTCTAATTGGTGATGTGCCAAGAGAAAATAGAAAGTTTGTGACAGAATCCTTGTGACTGATGGGCTGGGCTTTCTATTTTTTTTTTTTTTAATTTTTAAAATCAAATATCTGCTTTTTATCAGAAAAACATACCGTACCGTTAATTGGAGAGGTTGAATTTGAATTAATACTTGTTGTTCTCTGTCAATACAGGGGAAGCTAGAAGATTAACCCTTTATGTTATTTACATGGGGCTAGGTTGTTCTTTTTTTTAATTCAAGTAGGATATTTCGCCAGTTGTATCAATGGCAGCTGCATGTGGTGATTGTGTGAATTACCCAGAAAAATGAAACCCTTTCTCTTTCTCAGCATATTCTGATTTCTTACTCCACTTAAACAGCAGAAAGGAAGACATCTCTTCGGAACAATGTGTCTCCCAAGGAGCCTGGGGTGGCTGCTGCTGGTCAGAATGCTCCTCGGACATCAGGGCTGTTCTGAGCCCGTGTGAAGTGCTCTGTCCTGCTCAGTTGGTTTTTGTCCTGGTGCAGCTTGGCACAGGGCTGGTGGCTGTTGAAACAGTTCCCTTACGCCGTGCGGGCCCTGCTGGGACAGCAGCAGCACCTTTATCGCTGCCCAGGGAGGGGAGGGTGTGTTGGAGGGAGCATTTGAGGTCTCCTTGGTAAATGGAGGTGTTATCTCCCAAACTATTTGCACGTTTCAGACCATTTAAACTCTGCCTGTAACTTGTAAGCAGAAACTTGTGAAGCGTCTCCAAATCCCTGGTGTTTGTGCATGTTGAAAAATGGGAAGGGACAGACTGCATGCGTCACTCCCGTACTAATTTGTGCCAGCTAATCCATGGGAGAAGAATACATTTTGGCTGACTTAGTGGTTTTGCTGCTAATGCACAGGAGAATGCTTTTGAATGGATGGAGTGGCTGCACGGCTTTAGGTAGACTTTGAAGGGATACCCCATGTCTGGGATCCTGTGCTGGATACCCTCATTTGGGATCACAGTCGTGTCATATCCCGGATTTGTTTGGATTTTGGGGAAGGAGAAGTGGGAGGGAGGGGAAAGCGGTCGTCACTCATTCAGCGTCATAACATCAGGAAGGTTGGGATCGAGTTACCTCTGAATAATTAAGGTTAATGCTGTTTCTGGAGGAGCCATTATCTGCAGTGAACTTAATGCTCATGAAAAGACATGCTGATAACCTGAACTATGCTGATATTTCCAGGGTGGGTGCAGAGGAGGCATCACCAAAACTGGGCTTTGGTGTTCAATGTGCCTTAGCTTGACCTAGATGAATTATCCAGGAAAGGAGCTTGGATTTGGTGATAAGAGTTTTTGTAGTAGCTCATGTGTTACTTAGAAACATCCCATGTACCTAAGGCAACTTTTGCACACCCTGGTAATCTGGTATTGCCTTCTGACTGGAGATTTTGGTGGGTTTTGGGTTTTTTTCCAAGCACTTATCTATTAAAGAGAGTGCTAAACCCCTCAGCAGTCCGTTTGCTGAGTGGTGTGTGTATCCCTGCTGCCCTGGGAGAGCAGACTTCCCAAAATCCAATCCTTTTTGCATTACAGTCTAGAAAAAACACAGCTCCGTGCACTTGGTCTCTCCTTTCTTTACATTGGACTAGTGCCTTTTTCTAATTTAAAGAAACCAGCATTTGTTTAACTCAAAAAGAGGTCAGCACTGGTGAGCAGTGCTTGACTGAGCTGCCCACCTCCACCCTCCTGGAGTCTTCCCTGGTCTGGTGCAGTCTGATCGTGGTTAACCCTCTGTGCAGGCTTTTATGCAGGAGAGAACACTTAAGTGCAAATTTTTGTGGAAAGCTGAGGCATTTTTCCTTTTGGGCTCCATTCTGTGCCGTTGGGCTCAGTGGTAGGTGCAGACTTTGTCCTTGAGGTTCGTGTCCACGTGTGATGCAGTTCAGCAGGTACCACAAAACTTCCTGAGAACAGCCAATTGCCTCAATCCTTGTCGCATTTAGATTTCATCAGCACAAACATCCTCCTGGCTGCTTGGCTCTGTATTTTGAGCATGTATTGGTTCAGCCATGCTTTGATAAGGGTAGCCATGTGGCAGCTGGGGCAGGTTCCTATGGGATCAGTGATGGGGAGACAGGAGCAGGTCTGGAGGAACCGGGGCTGCCCCAGCCCTGGAAGTGTCCAAGGCCAGCCTGGAGCAACCTGGGCTAGTGGAAGGTGTCCCTGCTTGTAGCATGGGGTGGAATAAACTGGTTTTAGTGATTTTTTTTTTTCCTAATCCAAACCATTCTGTGATTCTGTATGATGGTTTAAGCTGATTGTTGTTATTTAGCAAGAGCAGTTGTGTGTTACTTAAAATCCTAACAAAAATCCCAGCAGGACGGAAGAAACTCCGTCTCAATCCATATCACTGTGCCCACAGGATCCATATTTTCTACAACTGAAGTGGAAGAACTAATTTAATCTTCCTTCTATATTCCTCCCCACTGAGGCCCATTCTGCGATGGGCTGCAATCAGTGTGTTGTGTGCCAGTTGTGGTTATTTGAATCATATTTCCACATTTCAGTGTCTAGACTTTATGTTTGTGTGAGTTTTGTTGTACCTTTCCAGCTCCGGAGCTGATTTCAGTTGGTTTTGGCTCCTGGTTTCTATGAGAAAATCAAACGGGCTGTGTCTCTGCCTTTCCCAGTCCCCAAAAAAGAAGGCAACAAGGGAATGGGCAGAACTTGGTTTTATAAGCTCCTTTGCCACCGTTTTTCTGTCTTTTGAGAAAATCTGTGTGTGGATGAGCAGGGTTCTGCCATTTGGTGACCAGCAGGTGAGAGCAAGGACAAACCCCTGATGGCTGCAGATAAATCTCTGCCTGCTTCTTGCACTGAGAGAAATCTGCTGTGAAAAAAGGGATGATCTTGATACAGGCCAGCAAGGCTGGGAAAAAAGTAACTGTGCACACATTTTTAGTAAAAAACAACTTTACAATCCACAGAAGGAGAGCATTTATTGACAATTAAGCAGCTTTTTAATTGCCTGCGTGCACGGGGCTTTGTTTTTTGCCAGCACATGTGGATATTGAGGATGATGGATGTGGCTGTGTTTGTTCAGTGAATTGGAGGGTTGTCTGTTTGTGATGCTCAGAGAAATTGATAATGACACCAAACCTGGATAACATGGACCTCCCTGTGACCAGGAGGTAGAACTGGCTTCAGAATTGTTCACAGTAATACCTGACTTGTGCAGAAAACAGTGTGGAACCCTGAGCCAAGGCTGTTTTCTGTGCTCCTGGTATATAATAAAGTGTATTATGGCTAAATCAGTGAAAGGAAATAATGTTCCCAACTCCTTGTTAACCTGTAAAGCTTGCTGCTATCAAATGTGAAAGGCTTGAGTGCAGCTGAATAGCAGGAAAAATCAGAATTTTTCAGAGGGGATGCAGAGAACAAAAGCTGTGCTTCCAGCTTCTCTCGCACCCCTGCCTGCATGTCGGGCTCCCTCTGCTCCCCCGGTGTTCGAGGTGACCAGGGTGCTGCCAAAGCCGTGGCTTCCCCTCTTCCAGGGAGCTGAGCAGTGTAAATTCTTCCATTCCTTCCCCATCCAGGTTCAGTGGATGCTTTTGGGAGCCCGGCATGGGCGGAGTAGCGAGGAAGCAAATTTTCCAGCCTGCCTGAGCTTGGGCAAGCAGAAATGGTGCCTTGGAAGCCATATAAGGCCAGGGAGCCGGCTCTGGCTGGGCTCACCTTGCCATGGGATGCTGGGGAAGGGAGCAGCCCTCGCTCCCAGGGAGAGGTTCAGGCCTTTGAAGTGCTCCCTGTGCGTCTGCCACTTGCCAGAGGGACGGTGTGGCCGCCCTGATTAGGTGACAGCAGCTTATTAACTCCCTGACTTTTGTGGGGCTCCAGCAGCCGGCCCCAAAGAGGCGGAAATTTGTGATTCAGAGTGAAACTGCTGTAAAATGACGGAGCTGGGAAGGTCGGAGCCTCTGTCACAGGGTGTCTTCATTTCCTTCAGCAGCGTCTGAGGCAGATCCTGCTGACTGCAGACAGTGCTGAGCAGGACTTGCTCTGAAAGGAGAGTTCCTGTGGCATTAAAATAGATTTTTGAAAAGCCTGGCAGCACCTGTTCCCCCTCCCAGGGATGTTCAGCCCTCAGAGCTGCTGGAGCCCCCATCGTGACCTCTGTTTCTGCTTCTCGCAGAATTAAGAACAACTTCTGCTCCCATAAATAGTCCCTTAAGAAGTGCGTAGGAGCTCTGTGACCAATTTCTTTTGAAAAGTGCTTTCAGTGACACCTGTGGCTGTGACCTTGCTCGCTGGTCCCACCCCGTGTCCTTGCAGGGCAGCTGTGTTTTGATGGGAGCCTGGTGGTCCTGGCCACAAGCTCTGCTTCCTTCTCTCGTTTAATCAGCACTAAAAAGAACCTTGGGTTATCTGTGTGTTCTGTGGGAAGCTGCTGCTGCTTTTCCTGCTGCAAATCCCAAATGCTTCCTGCCTCGTTGAGGTCTTCATTCCCTAATGCCACTGAGGTGGCTAAGCATCTGAAGGCTCCCGTGTTCCTGCCACATGTCACAGCTCCCAATGCTTGTTTTTATTCCAGAAATAAAGTGTGGTTTTCCAGAGGACAGCGATGCAGCCGAGCGAGTGCATTGTCACAAACCAGTTCTCCCAGCCTGGAGTCGTGGAGAGTCCCAGAACACCCAGCTCCGCTCAGGAAGCGGCTTGGTGTTTAATCTTTGCCAGTGTGGAAATGGGAAGAGGGAGCAGTAATGGATAAAGTAAAACATATTTAACCTTTAGGGACGTAAATGGGATATCTTGGATCTGTTTGGAGCAGGCGCTGGGGTTGATGTGGAACGTGGTGGTGATTAAAACCAACAGCAAACATTTTTCTGCTCATGAATTACGGACTTTGTTCTTAATGCATTAAAATCCAGAGCACTTTGGGGTTTCTTAACGTGAAGGGGGAGAAGAAATAGATTTATTACCTGGAAGGTTTGATGTTATAGTTCCAGGCATGTTTCCACAACCTTCCTGCAATCATTTGGAGCTGTACCTAATGTGGGTGCTGCTTGCGTTGGGCTGTAAGTTTGAGCTCTCTCATACAATTAAAGCCATTTAACTGCATCTAAAGACCTTTTACTTGTCATTAAGACTAAATTTACTGAGCTGACAGCAGGAAGAAACACATTTACCCTAACTCAGATGGGCTAAGAGAGCAAAACGTTCCAGCTAACTATGACTTGCCTGGATTGTTAAATTTAGACCAAAAATTCTGGTCAGACAATTAAGTGCCGGCTCAGTGACCACACCACTTCTTTTGCATGTGTGAATTGGCTGAGCTGCCTCTGTCAGGCAAGAGAGATTCTCTGTCTCAATGTCTCAATTCTCTGAGGGTTTTTGGGCTCAGACCTGGGGAGTCTTTTCGTGGCACTGTGGTTGCTCCCTGTTTGGTCAGCAGCCCTGGTATGTTTTTCCTCTTCTTATCTGAAAATTTTTCATGTTTATTTTTGGAATTCGTTGTAACCTGAACTTTCTCAGGTGTCCTTGCGGAGAGGGAAGAAACATCTGACTTATTTTTTAGGTAGATTTTTGCCAGTTGAGAAGAGTGTGTTCTTTCTTTTACTGTTTGTCGCTTTATTTTTGGAGCAGGTTTGTTACTGACCAGCTTGGCAGTGCAAATACAGAGGTAGCTGAAACAGTGCAGGTTCTGTGCTTCTTGCTGAAGTGAAGGCAGCACCTAATTTAACTTCTTCAGGCAGCTGCCTTCACTTTTCTCCTGGAGAAAGCATCCCTGGAAGCAGGAGGAGGCTGTTAGCAGAGGGTATGTAATACAAGATTCTATCATGGCAGGAAATCTAGAGAGGTTCTCTTGCTCAGTATGTGCAGCTGGATTTTTCTTGGGCAGCTTCCCTCAGTGATAGGAAAAAAACCTGGAATATTTGAGTGCTTTATTGCTTTCTCCCCTGTGGAGATGGTGGGAAGTTTGGGTGACACCCCTGCTGAATTCCGAGCGTCAGTCAGGTTGTGTTCCCACTGTCCTGGGTGGCACTGGGGCACCTCTGTTTGTCTGGAGGCCAAAAGAACCCGAGTCTGAGCATCTTGCTTTAGCTTTTGAGGTTGCTCTGGCTCGTGGGGTTTCTCTGGGATTTCTTTGCGATTCCTCCAGGATCCAGGCTCTGACTTTGGTTTATCGCAGCCTCTTCCAGCAGTGAGGAGCATCTGAAGATCATCAGCAGAACTTTCTCAGGCTAGTAATTACTCTTCCCTCCGCGTGTCAATAGGGTATAGCTGGGCACAAGGAAAACAGAACTGGTCCAGGCTTGTTTTCCTGGGCTCAGCAGCGTGAGGCGAGATTTGTTCCGGGATGGTTGAACGGGTTCGTCAATCTGATCTCTCAATTGTCTTTCTATATTTTCTCTTGCAAGAAAAGGAGTAAAGCCCTGTGGAAGATAAGGATCTTTCTGATGTTTCAGCAGCTCGTTTAAGCCACCTTATGAGCACACAGTCAAGTGAATCAGCCCTGGTGTCTTAATATGTCCTAAAATAAATTACACTTTCGTAAGCAAATTTGGTGGGTTTGAACTGCTGTATTTTCATTAAAAGATTGCAGTGGAGAAAATGCTCTTTAAAATTCAGCCTCGGGGTTGTGTTGTTCATTAACTGATAGTCACTCCTGTTTACCTTGTGTGATAAGTCCCACGTTAAGAATGGCCAGCAGTGCTGATGCCGTCACAGTTGCCCTTCAGAGAGAATTGCTCTTTTTTTTTATGGCTGGCTTTACTAACAGGTGGGAGTTTTTTTGGAACTCAAATAAATGCAAACAGCCAGGACGTACCTCTCCTAATCATGGAAAACCGCTTGTTTGGTTTTTTTTTTTCTGTCCTCCTGTTCTTAGCAGCTTGGTAACGCTGCTGTCGGTACAAAGGTCATTTAAAAATCTGACATGTCAGCCCAGCAACGTACTGCTCCTTAATGAGGCTTAAAACCAGCGTGGAGCTGCCTGGTGGAAATAAATGTGGAGCTTCAGAATAGAGGGAGACATGTCCACAGCTTACTGGGATGGGATCACCTGGCTTTCCTTGCACCAGCCCCCCCTCCCCGGATCTCTCCTGGGTACTTGCAGTTCTCTTGCATAAAGGGGTTTAATTTTTCCTCTTGTTATTCAAATGAGCCCAGGTGTTTGACAGCACATTTGTGTTCTCAGAAGAAAACCAACGAAAATACCTCCTGAAATCCAGGCACGATGTTTTAAAAATGATTCTTTCCTGTGGTTGAGGTTTTCTCTCCTCCTCATCTTGGCCTCCTGCTGCCCCTTTGAGGAGGTCCTGCAGCACCTCTGACTTCATCCCCACCTGGCTGGAGCCCTCCTGTCCCTCCTGCTCCCCAGGATGTCACTTGCCACTGAACCCAAGCTCTTGAACCTCCCTGTTCCTGACGCTCCCTCAGTCCTTTGAATGTCTGAAGGCTTTTCCTCTAATCCTGTTCCCCAGCACTACTGGAATTTCTGCACCTTCAGCCTCGCCTCACTCTTTTCGGCTCTTTGACTGTTCTCCAGTGAAAACTAGGTCAGAAACAACCGTCAGCTTCTGATATTTCACTACTCCTGTTTTATAAGTTGTAACCCAGTGTTGCTGTGTTTAATCGCTTGCTTTAATTTTCACGTATTAAGTGTCTCAGCTCGCTGTGCATGAGCAGCCTGGCACAGTAAAACTGCTCCGAATAACATCTTGGCTGTAAAAGCCATGTTACCTTGACTGGGGCTGAAAAGGTGAATTACCTTTTTTTTGCTACATATAATGCTGGAGTTGCCAAACTGACAGATTTTTCCACCAGTTCTCTCTTAAGTGTACATTTGGTGGCAATTTTGGAACTTTACTTAGCCAGCTTCTCTTTATGCATGTGTGGCTTTTTAACGTGATGGGTGAAAGAAAAACAGCTTGAAAACAATAATAATTGGAAACTCTCAGGTTGATGAAGATCACAGTAATGCAGGTATATTGGAAGGCATTTAAGAGATTTATTTTTAACTGAGTTGCAGCTGACTGGACCCATTCAGCGTTTTTATAAAACTGTTCTTGGAGTGGTACTTGAATTCTGAGCTGAGGTGCCTCAGTGTTCAGTGAAACCCACCTGGTGTAATTCAAGAGTATCCTTCTTCCTTTCTCTTAGGCAGACTTGGAGCCAGCCAGTGTTAGAATACCTGGGCATTCCAGCATAAATGGGATTTAAATGAATCCTTACTTTTCAGTCTGACTTAAAGGTTGTGGTTTTAAAATTGTGCCTGAGCTGTTGTCTCTGAAAAGTTTTTTCCAAGTTGTTTATTAAGCTGTTCTTAATACACTTTAATTTTCTTCTTTCATGTGTCTCCTGCTGCTCTGTGGTTGTTTTCAAGGATCCCCATGCAGGCATGGGGGGAGTTGTTGGGGTGTCTGTGCGTGGCCAGGAGCTGGAGACTTTGATATTCCCTTTGAGGAATCCCTTCCAACTCAGGGTGATCAGTGATTCCATGATTTTCCTGGGATTTGAGGTTCTCTGGTTTGCAGGTACCAGTTTGACCCAGCTTTTGCTTTCCATCTGGGAAACATCACCTGTGTTTGAGAGGTGGGGGAGTTTGAACCAGGGCTGAAATGCTTTATTTAAGGAAAACTTCTGGAGGGGCCAGTGGAACAAATCCCAGCCCTAAATGTGGTTCTGTAGTCACTTCCCATCACTTGTGTGGCCCTCAGCCTCAGATGGAGGAGCTTGGGTGTCTTAATCAGTTCTGGAAGCTTTATTTATCCATGATGGGGATGAGGGGGAGTTAAGATGTGCTATCGTGACACACTTTTCTGTATTAATTTGGGAAACATTTTCTTCTGGCAGTTGGGCGTTTTGTACAGTGCAGAAAGCAAAATACTTGTAGTAGATCCATTTGATACAGCTGGTCCTGGAGAAGCTTTTAATTATTTTACCCTCTGAGCCCCAGAACTGTATTGCTGCATTGCTTCAGAAAGGCTAAAATCAGGGAAAAGTGCCATCTCCAAGAGGAGTGCAGCGAGCCAAGTGATTTCCATGATGGAAATCTGTTTTTCTTGTAACTTCCACAAGGTTTTTGGGGTTGTTGCAGAGGTGGCCGCATCTCCAGCACCTCAAAATCAGCAAACTTCCCTCTTCTGCCAGAGGAAGCACAGAAGGCTTCATGCAAGGTGTCTTGTTCGACAGGAATGACTCTTAAAATATTAATCTGAGAACATCTAACCCCCCAGAATTCTTGGCTCATAACGAGTGACTCCTCCAGGGAAAACCAGCACTGCTGGTCACCTTTAGCAGAGTTGGGAATTTTGGATGATTCAGTTTCCTTCTGCCAGTTTTGTTGTTGTGCTGTTGTTTTTTCTCCCCTCGGTCCTTTCCCAATTTAACAGGATCATCTGATAACTCCAATAAAATGCTGCTGCAAAAACAAGCAGTGTTGCATGCAAGAGATGATTACCCAGGGGATTTTGGGCATGGATGTTTAATGGGATTTTTGCCAGACTGAGGTCTCTGAATGGTCTTGCAATGCAGATGTGTGCAGATGCTGCAGATACTTGGACTTCTCTTAAAGGAATATTTAATATCATATTCAATATTATCAGTATTTCCAATATAGGGAGGCAGAACAGGAAGCTTCATTCTGCGATACTGTTTTTTGTTGCAAACAGTGCTTCAAAGCAAATCCATGTGTTTGAAAAACAAATCTAAGGGTTTGCTTTCCTTTGCCTGCACTTTAGAAATACCAATATTTACCTTCCTTTTTTCTACCCTATCTTTAATTTGCTGTAGCTGCTCGAAGCCAGGCAGTGCTGCTCTGCAAGAGAGTGACAGACCTGGGCCATATGAGAAGACTTAAATTCAAAATTAATTTTACTTCAACCACTTCTTTCTTCCTGTATAAGCAACCTACTCTAGATTTGCTACTTTTAATAAGGGATGAGCACTGGGATTTGTTCATTTAGCTCTTCCTCAAATTAGTTGCAAGTCATGAAACAATGGGACTTATTTCTAGGTTGGTACTTGGTTTTTTGTTTTTTTTTTTGCAATGAATTTGCCAGCACAGCATTATCTTTGGAGGAGAGCTTTGGGAAACGTTGTTGTAACTTGTTTTATGCTTTTCCACTTTTACCTTTTATTGCTTTTAGTCAGAGTTAGAGGAGAAAAATCCCTTCAGGAAAAAGGGTGATAAAAAGAAGAGTTACTGCAGAATTTTGCTGATTTCTGGTGTGCTTGTGGAAAAGGGAAAGGGATCCTTGAACCTCTGTCTCAAGGAGAACAGGGTGAGACTGAAATAAAGGTAAAGGTGTTTGAATGGACAGTTTTGACTCAAGAATGCAACACTGAGTAATGAAATGAAAAAGCTTTGAGGGCTGCTGGTTCTCAGTGTCAGGGAGGGTCTGGAACACCCTTCTGGAGCGAGTAACGGATGCAGAAAATCCACTCACACAAAATTAAACTTCCTTTTCAGGGAGATGCAGTAATTGTATCAAAACTGGGAGGTTTTTTTTTACTTGCAGGAAGGAAACTCCTGGGTTATTACACTCAAAAATGGGCACCGTGTTCTGTGACTTAGTAATTCTTTCATTATAGACATTTTAAATTGATTTTAACTGCTTTGATCAGTTCTAAACACTGGAAGCTGCACAGGGATGCTAAGGAGCTTTTTTCCTTCCAAAAGCCTTTCCTCCCTAAGCCTTTGGAAGTTGTGGGAGTTGGCTCCTGGTCTTCTGACAAAGCCTCCCTGAGCAGCCCCATCTTGTTAATAGTGGGATTGGTGGGAGTTTGTCATGATTAAACTGCAGATAATCATCATTACAGCCCTTGTGGCAGCCTGGTGATGAGACTTCATGATTATTGCTCTCCTTAATGAGCAGGTCTGCCTTAGCTCAGTGCAGAAGCAAAGAGGGAAAACATGCAGTTAAAAAAAGGAGAACTGTCCCGTTGGGAAACGTGCCCGGAGTCTCCCAAGTTGGATTCCCACAGGAGCCAACTCCTGCCTCTGCTGCTGAGATCTGGAGCTGTGGCTGAGTTAATTGGGAGCCCGTGGTGCCACAAACCCTCTTTGATCTTTTCCTCTTCCCTGCCATCCATCTTTCCCCTGACCTTGGACCACTCTGGTTTTGGGGTGGCTTTCAATGCCTCTTGTTTTTGGGGCTGGATTTGGATTCCCCTCTGGTTTTGGGGTGGGTTTGAAGGCCTCTCGTTTTTGGGGCTGGATTTGGAGTCCCCTCTGGTTTTGGGGTGGTTTTCTTCTACTTTCCATCTTCAGCCAGCCAGAGCCCCCAGCTCCCATCCAGCAGTGAAGCTGGTGTCCAGCAGGCAGCAATGAATCTGACTGGTCATTCCAAAGGGAACTGTGTTTGGAATTAAAATGTTGTACCTCTTGAAATGAACCTGTATCTTCCTGTCCTCTTGCAGTGTCCCTCCCCATGCTCTGGCAGGGGAGCCTTTCTCTGCAGACAGGTGAATTTAACTCTTCAGTGTCCTCTGCAAGTGCCAGCTGTGCATAAACAAGCTGGAATTTTCTTTGGAGACAGAGCATTTCCCCCTTGCAGCCATTTCAGCCCCTCTGCATGTTGATATTGATTGCAGAGCAAATCCCTGTCCATGTCTGTGCTCATGAAAGAGTTGCTCAGTTCTTGTGTCTGCACTACCATAGAAATTTGGGAGCAGGGAGTGCAGGAAGGCGTTTGGTGCTTCCTGCCCTGGGTAAGGGCTCAGCCCAGTGGATGGGGCTGCTCTGCCCGAGCTCTGCTCCAGCCAGCCAAAGTCTTCTGCTCCACAGTGGGCTGAGTAAACTCCACACCAATTCACAATATTTAATTATTTCTCCAAGGATTTGAGCCTTCTTTTAATTTTCTTCCTGAAAGGCATTGCCTAAATTGCCTCTGTGCCCAGCTTTCCTTCCTGGTGGAAAACTACTGCACCTTGTGCTGACCAAACATCCTGGCTCGATGGTGGGGAGCAATGTGCTCCAGGGTTTTTGGGGATGTGCGGGGAGCTGGAGCTCCCATCCCAAACCCACCTTTCCCAAGGTTTGTGCTCTGGTGAGGATGACCAGAGGATCAGACTGTGTCTGTTCTTTGGGCATTTAAAGCTCCCCCCCAATGATGTGCCAGGAAGAAAAAGATTCCTTTGAAGCGCTGGAAAGTTTTACTTGGAGTTACCAAATTGAAACAAAAAAGTTTTGCTGGGCTTGTGCGACCTGGGATAGTGGCAGGGGATGGATCCGGGATGGGGTTTAAGGTCCCTGCCAACCCAAACCTTCCATTATTCCATGAAAAAAACAGTGGGAATCTGGCAAAAATCCCCATGTGCTACAGCCTATCACCAAGGCTGGAGAGGCTCCACCTCTATACCTTGCCCTGAGTTTTTGGGATGGGTATTTGGGGAGCCGTGGGGTTCATGTATCCTAATTCCATCTCCCTCCCCTAATTCCTGGCTGGAGGAGCTCTGGCACTGCCGAGCAGGGAGCTGCAGGGACGGGGGTGCCTCACCCATGCACAGCCTGGTTCAGCTTGAGTCCCCAACGAAATTCTGCAGCAGAGACCCAGCAAACACCCTGCCTTTTATTCAGGAGGAGCTTTTTACCCTGGATTAGCTGAGATCAGAAGCTCCAGGCATGCGAGAGAGAACAGGCTGCACGGCTGGCTCAGCTCTCCTCTCGTGCCTGTGGGGTGACATCTTGATGACAGTGGGGTTTAATTGCTCTCTGCTTTGCTGATACAGGCTATTGTCCATTTAGGGCCTGGCTTTCTGCTGTGCAGGGCAGGACAAAGCATTTCCATTAGGCTACAGTTTGGTTTTTAACTTAATCGTGTGTCTTCCTCTCTAAACTTTACACAAAGGTTGAGTTTTTCTGCATTTCAAGTGGGACGAGAGCTGGGATGCTCAGTGTGTAGTGATGTCAAAGCCTGCTCGTGAAGCTTTCTGGTAAAATCGGTAATTTTATTAGAATGGTAAAATTCTGTAACTATGAGGAGCGGGGAGTGGTGAAATTCTGTAACTTTGGAGCTGGGAATGGTGAAATTCTGTAACTTTGGAGCTGGGAATGGTGAATGAAATTCTGTAAGTTTAAGGAGCTGGGAATGGTAAAATTCTTTAACGTAATCATAAATTTCAGCAAATCAAATTGAGGATTTTTTTGAGCTGACACTTTAAACTCCTTTATTTTCTATGTTATAGAAACACACTTGATTTTTAACCCTGTAAAATTCAACTACTGAGGAAGCAGCATTTGTGCTGTAACAGCCCACTTTAAATGGTGCAATTATAACCAAAGGAGCCAGTGTGCCTTTTGCAGTTCAGCAATTAAAAACTTTCAAACATACAGCGTAACATTTTGGCTGACATAAAAGCTTTTGAGCATTTTATTGCTGCTTGTACTTCTGGGCAGGATTTGTAGATGCTTTAATATTATGGTGATAATGTGTCCATTAATGCGTATTAGGCAAATGATAAATAATAAATACAAACTGCAGTTTAGAGTAATTGAGAATCCAGCCCTTAAACCTTCATCAAAAGCACCTTTTTAATAATTTTTTGTGTTAAAAACTCGAGTGTTCACTTCTGGCCAAAATAAATTCTTATAAGTGTTGGGGAGAGGAAAATGGGGGGGATGGATTGTGAGAGCACCAGGATGATAAATGGGATTACCTTGGAGAGGAGGAGTGAGCGGAGGTGTCTGTGGGGTAATTTGGGGATTGCTGCCTGAGGAGCTCCTGTCACACCCTGCTCTGCTCCCTGGGATTTGCAGGATCCCATCAGCATCCCTGGAAGGACGTGGGTGAATCCTGAATCCTCCAGCAGCATGGCTCACCTGGGCAGCTGGCACCTCTCTTGAGTGGAAAGCCTCAAACAGTGGTGGATTTACATGGAATTTCCAAGGCTCTTTCCATGAGAATGTTGGATTTGAATAGCAAAACTGTAATTTTCGAGTCGTGGCAGACTGCATCCCATCTGTGCTCAACTTCAAACGGGATCCTTGAGAGGCCCCAAATTGCAGATGGAAATTGTGTTACAGGGAGACTGTGTTTTAATTCCGTAAGTAATTGATGGGAGATGAAAAAAGGAATATTCAGGAGACTTTTCTGGCTGCTGAGTTTCTGGGAGGAGGTAAATACAAGCCTTGGAATAGTGGAATGTCCTGGGAGCAGCCTCGGTGGCTCTCTCGTGGGCCAGCTTGGGCTAATTGGCTGCCAGCAAACCTCACCCAGCCTCCCTTGGAGCTCTGGGCCCATTCCAGGGTGTTGCTCTCCCCTGGGATTTGTGGTGCTTGCTGCTAATGAACTCAGGAGGTGTCTCCGGGGATGGGCTGGATCTGCTCTGCCTTTGGACTCTGCTTTGCTTTGCAAGCTCTCCAGGGGGGTGTTTAAACCAAAATATCAATGGAAAGTGAAATCTGGGGAGCTCTGCAGGAGCTTTTCCAGCTATCCAGGTGTACTTAAACTGAGGATCCTCCTGGATTTAGGAGTTTTTATCCCCCCCTTGGCCCAGTTGTGCTGGGAAGGCAGAGGAAGCAGGGGAGGGAGCCTTGCCTATATTTGGACCTTGCTGTGTGGGCTAAGGAAACATAAACCAGTTGTAACCAAAGAATTAAAGAGGAACTTGGAGTTTGGAGCATTGCAGAGTCTGAAATTTGTGCTTTTTAAGCAATTTCTTGTTGTTCCCATTTTTGTAACTGCTTCCTGAGGTGCAGCAGCTTTACCTGGGCACTGGTTTTAGCTGGAATTGCACATGATGGTTGGAAACATCCCATTAATGCCAGCCTTGGTTAGCAGGATTTTATAGTTTCTCTGTATATTTCTTGGAATTCTTGCTACTAATTTTAACTGTTTGTAAGAAGCTTTAAATTCTGAAAATAATCCCCTTGTTCCAACACAAATAAGGGTAAATTTTCAGTTGCATCTGGGCATTGGTGACTCTGAACATCCAACAAAACAGACAAACACCTCAATACTAAGTTTAGGCAAATATTTTCCATAGAACACAGCCTGCAGTATAAATTCCAGTAAATATATGACAGAACTTCCCAAAATGATGTCTTCTTTAATTATCTCTATTTCCCTGAAGAAACAGAGAGGCTTCCAGCTGGCTCCTTGACCTGAGTGTTTCCAGTGTCCTCTCTGATCCCGGGGAGGAACATCCCATCCAGCTTTTCCTCTAAAGGTGTTGAAAACATTTTGCCACCTTCAATCAGCCCTGATAAAATAATTTGTTTTCCTTTCAATTCTTCCATATTTTATGGACACTTCCTTGTTCTTCCTACTTTTTCCTCAGCTTCCATGTGCCAGACCTGGAATATTTAAGTGCAAGGAGCTGTTTGTGTGTGGCCACCACCTCTGTGAGCTTTCAGAGGCTCTCTTTGGGGTTTCTTGCTCTCCTCTAGCCTGGGGAAACTGAAGGATGAGCATAATACTTTAATAATAAAAGCCAAAGATCCTGTGGGAGCTTTGGGGATGAGTTTTGGGGTTTTTCTGGTTTAATCTCACGACTTTTGAAATAATCTTACAGTATGTGGAGGACTGACAAAAACCACTTGGGTCTGTGGGGTTTTATTCATGTTGGCATCCCAGGGCAGAGCTTGAAGGGATTTATTTCTCCATCATTCCCAGGGAATGCAGCAGGAGCTGTGGAAAGCAGGGAACTGGGCATGGAGATGTGGAAGTTCTCTTTCCACATAGCAAATAAATGAAATTTTATGGAGTAGGTGCCGGGGTGTACCCAGGCTCTTTGTGAGGGTCTGTTCTCCAGTCGGATGGAGAGGCTGAAGCTGGTAATTCCAGTTTGGGTAGATCTCAGAGGTGCAGCTGTGGTTTGGATGTTCCTTTGGGAGTTATTCCTGCAGAGCTTTGGGGCTGCAGGATGGGCCCTGCTCTGGCCCAGCAGCTCCTTTGCTGCTCCAGATGAAGTTTGACACAGCTCCTTGTGGGACCTGGCAACCTCTGGAGCTTTGGGAATGCTTTGCCAACCTTCCAGGTGGTCAGGAAGCATTCAGCTGGAACAATGGCACGGGCAGGAATGGAATTCCTGCATCTGAGGTGTGTTTAAAGGGGTTTGCTGCCTCTGGAAAGTGCAGGTTCCCTGTGGTGTTCCCCACAGATCCCAGGAATTGTGCTCCTTGATCCCACAGATCCCAGGAATTGTGCTCCTTCCTGTGTGTTCCCTGGCCCCCCAGATCCCAGGAAGATCCCAGGAATTGTGCTCCTTCCTGTGTGTTCCCTGGCCCCCCAGATCCCAGGAATTCTGCTCCTTGATCCCACAGATCCCAGGAAGATCCCAGGAATTCTGCTCCTTCCTGTGTGTTCCCTGGCCCCACAGATCCCAGGAAGATCCCAGGAATTGTGCTCCTTCCATCCACCCTGGTGGATGAGCTGCAGGGATGAGTCTCTGGTACCTGGCAGCAGCAGAAAACCTGCTCACCTGGCAGGTGGCTGCTGCAAAGTACCTGAGCTGTGCTTTTCTTCCTTGGATTTTTATCCTCATCACCTGCCAGCAGCTGCCTTTAAACCCAGACAGTGTCCTGGAGGGATACAGCTGGAATTCTTTGCAAGGGAATGAGGCTGTGCCCCTTTGCTTGGACAAATCTGCCTTGTTTTCCTCTTGTTTGAACACAAAGATGGGGTTTCATCAGCATCCTTGATTTGCCAAGGATTTACAGCATCCAGGGCTGAGGAGGTGACTTGGTTCAGTTGGAAGGGCAGAGGCAAAGGCCTTGTTCCCACTCAAAAGGGGTGGAATGGCATTTCTAGGAATTGTAACTCTGGAAAATTCAGTCATGGCATCACTTAGGGAAGAGGAATTAAGTGACTCTGAGGTGACTCTACAGAAAATGACAGAGGGGTTTTGCAAAGGGCAGCAGGAACTTGATAATCGAGGTTGTCCATCCAAAAACATCCAAGGAAGTTAATCCAGAGGAAGATACAAATGGAAATGTGGTTTTAATTTGGTTTCACGTCATTCATCTGCTCTGTTTTCTTCTGAATGAAGGTGTCCATGCAGGGATTTAATTTTATCTAATAAAGGTATTAGAGTCACATCCTTAATTAGTTTAGGGTGTGCAGTGTGCTCTCCTGTTCCATGAGCATCCTGAAGGAGCTGTAGCCAAGGAATTGGACATCGGGGGAGGTTCAGGGATGGTGCTGCTGAGATGCCAAAAGTCCTTCCCTGCCTCAAAAGGGAAAAGGGAGCTGGGATTTGCAGTGTCCATCCAAATCCATCTGTTCCCTGTGATCCCTCTGGAGCCTGGCTGGGAGTTCCAACCCTGATATTCTTCCCCAGGGATCCCAGACAGGCACAGACAGAAACACTGAATTTTGGGAAATACATCTCAGCTTTGCCATTCAACTTGCATAAAGCTGATATTACCCACTTAACTTCAAACCAGTTTATTTGTAGACTGTGGGATTTAGAAGTTCTGTAATTAAACCATGTCTGATTTGTGCATCAGGACTTCTGCTCCTGCCTCCTTATTCACTTCCATCCTCCTTACCTCCTTTTTATTCCCCTTAAACAACTTTCCAGACCAAAGAGCAGAACTTCCCAGATCTGTAATTTGCTGTACAAGAACCACATGGGTTTGATTTTTTTTTTTTTTCCTTAAATCCAGATTTTTATCATGTTTCAAATGCTTGTTTGCTCAAGTATGTTCCTATGAATTTCTGGACACGGGGAACAAAAAGCTGGCCAGGCTGTCCATGAACAGTGTGCTGTGGAATGCAGTGTCGTGGCACTCGAGGAATTCAGTGATCTCTGTACCAAGAGCAAGATGTTGTTTATTGGTGCTTTTCTAAAGGTTGTTCTGGGTCTATAAAATTCTTTATCCAGCACTCAGGGAGTGCTGTCAGCCCTGAGCGTGTTCCTGCTTTCCTCAGCATCATAAATGTCCTGTAATGATCCTGGGTGTGATGCAGATCTGGGAAATCCTACTGGAGGGGCTCTTCAAAGAGTCAGACTCTGTCTTGGGCTGGTGTTATCCATCCAAGTTTTGTTAGGTTTATCTGGGCTAAAAGGATTTTTATTTTGCTGGTGAATTTATCCATTTTTTTGTTGATGTCGTGCCTGAGATTCTTCACTGCCGGGCTGGAAAAGTTTTATGATAACTTCATGAATTTCAAGCTGTTTAACTCTCTTGCTGCTAAAATTTAAATATCTATTTTTCTAGTCCATTGGAAATTGGGTGACACAAACAGCACAATCCAACTCATGTTTTGGGCTTGTTTTCCCAAATTCCTGGTGGTTTCCCATGGAAACGTGTCTCCCATACACATGACAGCATTTTCACTTATAAATGATACCTTAAACTTCTTTGTAAATTCTTCTGTCCCTTTGGAAACTTCACAGTGGGGTCCCAGGAGCCCCATGGAGCACAATTCCTGTCTTGGATGCTTTGTGTGATGTAGGAAAGAAAACTCCAGAGCCCCAGTTCTGCTGGAATTGGAGAGATCCAAATTCAGCGTGGCTTGGGTTGGGTCTGGTACTTTTTTCTTCAGTTGAAACCTCAGGTGAGACTTGGAACTGAAGTGTCTTTGGGATCTCTAAAGTGACAGCGAGGCAAAAAGGCTGAAATGGAGGAGTTTTAGAGTCACAGGAATACAATTTTTTAAATGTAAGCAGCTGAGCCTGGAGGAAGAGGCCAATTGTTGAAACAGGCAAAGTAAAAACAGGATTTTGCAACGGAGCTGCAGTTTGCTTTTCCAAAGGATTGCCAGCTTTCTCTTGGAAAAAATTCGCTTTGCGTCCTCTCAGGCCGAGAACTGGAATAAATTTTCCCCTCAAGTGTCCATTTTTTAATTCAAAACTTACATAAGCACCAAAGCTGGGCTGTTCTGTGCCCAAAATGTGGTGGAGGGGTCAGGAGGAACCAAGTGTCACCTCTGAGCTGCTCCTTTCCTGAGCTCAGGGTGACCTTAGCTTATCCTTTTTCTGGGTACAAATCACTGTTTCAGGAATTTTTGGTTCTGTTTTCTTACTTGAAATACACACTTTCCTGACCTTTCCCCTTGGAAAAAAAAAAAAAAAAAAAGAGGGAAGTAAAAAATCCAGGTGAAAAATCAAGCTTGAGTGTGGCTTGGCGGCGAACGTTGGAGGTTAGAATTTCTCTGAGGTAATTTTTGTTTTTCCACTTGTTTTTGTAGGATGCTGTGACGTCAAAACCAGTCATCCAGTTTCAAGGAAGCCAAGGGGTAAGTTTGTACCTGGAAAGTTCTTTTGCATTTAATGGGATTGAGGAATTTGGGCTGTTCCAGCTCAAGGAATGATGCTGTGACTGCTGAGAGTGAGATGGAGCTTCAGGGGTGCTCCAGGAAGGTGTTTGCTCATGGAGTGTCTCTCTCTAAAACCTTTACCCCCCTCTTTATTTCCTAACCTTGCTAAATCCATGGGAAATTCAGATTTATGAGGCTGTGCTGTTGGGTAGAACAGGGAAAAGGAAAGGAAGCAGAAATCCATGGAATCCTCACCTGTATCCCAAGAAAACACCGTGCTAAACTCACTGCAAGAATTTTTTTGGTCCAAATTCCTTCCAGCAGCAGAGTTTGGAGGCTGCTCTGAGAGTCCTGGAGGTTTATTTAATGTAACTGCAGTTCTGTGAGTACCAGAAGTTATTTTAGATTTAGGAGTTTTACTTCCCCAACTTCTGTTCCGATGACAGAACTCTGGGATATTTTTAGCCCCTTGAACCAGTCTGTCATGCCAGTTGCTGACAACGTTGAGATTTACGTGGTGGTGTTTCTGGTAAAGCAATGCAGCCCTTCAGTGAACTTGAAAAATGTCATTTAGATACCTTTTATTTCTAAAAAAGCCTGTGTTTAACTTTAGTCTCTGCATAAAGAAGGGGAATTGAATTTTTAATTTTTTTTTTCAAGAATCTGAATTCAGCTGTAACTTCTGATTATTTTTTATGCACTGGCACATTAAGGCTTTCAAAAAGGCTTGGATTGAGTATACATTAAACCCAGCACATTGTCCTTGCCCACATCCTACTTTGTGATATTATTCTCATAGAAAATGTAGCAGGAAAGACATGATTGTTATTGTAGGTTAAGAAGAAAAATACAAACCTTCTTGTCCTGGGAAATAAAGAAAGGAGCAATTTCCAGGTTTTTTACTTTGTTTGGAGTTAAACTTCCCCGAAACCTCAGCATGAAAGTTGAGATCAAAATCTGCCACTGAGGTTGGGCACAGTCAGAAGTGAGGAGGAAAACTGAAGGGTAGGGGATGTGTCTTTATCTGATGAGCTTTGCTCCTGGAATAAAGAACCTAAAAGCACTGGGGATGCTTTTCTTTCCCTTTGGAAGCAGGATCTACACCTAACTTTTCCTGTAAAGCTGTTTAAGTTTTGGAAATGAATGTTTTTTTCTTGAAGGAAATGTAGCAAAAGGGATCAAAACAGCTTAAAATGCTCCTCTGCCCTGAGCCTTTGCTCGTGGTGGGTTCCACATGGATCTGATATGGACAGGGGCTAAGAACAAATATTCATTTCTGGGGATAATTCAAAGTATTTTCCAATGCCTACAGTTGCTTCTAGAAATGAAAAATGTGAAAATAAAAGAGTTGATTCTGTCAGAGCCCTGGACCCCCAGGGATGAGTGGTTGGTGGAAGAGCTGCCTGGCACCTGCAGTGTCACCCCTTGGAGAGGGACAGGAGCCAGGAGGGCTGGGCTGGGCTGGAGGGAGGATGTGGCAGCCAGGGCTGACCTCTGCCTGCTCCTCCTCAGTGCTAATTAATGGCACTGACGAGAGGCCAAAGGTAGAGCTTTGAAGAGAGCTGCAGCTCCATGGGAGCATGCAGAAAGAGCTCTTTGTCCCTTTATTATTATTTTTCCTGGGTATGACAAGGAGCTGGCAGCTGGGGAACCATCTGCTTTTAAGGGTAGGACTCTGCATGTCAGGATTCTGCTGCTTTTTGAGGAGCTGAGCCTTGAAATGCTTTCGAGGGATCCTCCATCAGTCGGGCTGAAGAGCTAATTCCAGGAATTTACCAGGCTCTCACATCCAGAGGATGGCATTAAAACATATCTGTTGAGCTGTTTTACTTTTAAAATTATTTCTTCCACTCTTCCTCAGTTCTCCAATTTCCTGCCTTCCTATTTTGCTTCCCAAAAACCAAAGCAGCTATGGAGAATCCCATTGACTTTTTGGGGTGGGAAGGTTGTGCTATGCACAGCTGTCAGTGTGATTTAAAGCAGCGAGGTTTTATTAGTGGGAATTTTCAGTGCTAGTATTCCTCTCTCAAGAGGGAAAAGCTTCACTTGATGATTTAGGGAGGCAGGACATAAAATAAGAATTTAAACAAACTTCTGCTTCTTGAATTTAATTCTCTAGAAGCCTTTAAATTACTGTGTCCATGTGTTTTCACCTATTCCAGTGTGACTCTAGAAGCTGTCAAGAATACTTTCAGTTTCTAATACACAGAAAAAGAAACTTCCATGTTTGAGACACTAATTAACCAGGGAAGGGGATTGTTGGGACTAAAACCCGGGGTCAGCAAGGTGGCAGCAGAAGGGAGGAAGTCAGTGGTTGCAGCCCGGAATAAAACAGCTGTTCCAGTGACAAGAGACAAAACCTCTCCTGCCTGGATCCTGGTCTGGATCCAATCTTACAGGAGCTGATAAAAGCTGCTGGGATTCTGCCTTGAGGTGTGTTTCTCTGTTGTGATGCTGCTCTTGTTAATGGCTTTTATTCTGTGCAATAATCAGAATTGCAGTTGTAATAACCAGGTTGTTTTTACCAGTGTTCCTCTAAAGTGGGACCGTGGATGTTGTTTAAGAGCAGCACCTGGCTGTCAGTTTTTCCTCGTGGGTTTTCTTAGAGAGATTCATTTTATGGAGCTCTGAGTATTTTGCTCGTTTCAGTGTACAGGTAAATTAGAATTTAAGAGCTGGAGTACCACAGCATTACAAATTGTGTGCAGAACTGTGCCAGAATTACCGAAATTGCTTCTATTTTAGTGAAAAGACGTGCAGAATCAGAGCTTAGGCTGGCTGAAATTTGCAGGTGCTTGTGGGGTGGTGAGAGCAGGGGCAGAATTGAACTGAGCGGGGAAAAATACCCTTCAGGTGCCAAACCCACGTGTGTTGTGCAGCGTTTTTAGAATGACTGTTGGGAGCAGAACATCTTTGCTTTGTGACTGGAAAATACAGCATTTCCCCTGCTTCTTGGGATGAAATTTGGGTATTAACAGAGGGAGGTGAAATCTCTGTTCAGAGCGAGTGTCCACAGATGAATGTTACTTGAAAGAAGAAAACAGAACTTACATCTGTACCGAGCTATTTTTAAGTGTCTCTGGTTACTGGTGCAGTACCCAGCACCAAAATTAGGGCTCCCTCAAAGCAGTCACCATGCTGATTTGGTGGCTTGAGAAACCTTCTGTTTTCAGCTAAAAATAATTCCTAGATAACGGCCGGCTTGCACATGAGACTTTTCAGTACTAAAGTGACTCGGCCTCTGAAAACGCTGCAAAAACCCTACAAAAATCCCAAACAGGGGCTTTTGGAGCAGCTGTTTTTTCCAGTGGGTAAAGCAGGAGCGAGGAGAAAGTTCTTTGGTGTGTGGAGACGTGATTTGGTGACACCCTGCAGGTTTTATTTTCCAGGCTCAGGTGCAGCACAGCTCGATCCCCTTGTTGGGTTTTTCTCTTCTTCCCATTCCCACCAGATTTCCAGCTGCAAAATCCCCCCAAGCGTGCTGCTTACATAACTCTGCCTTTCTGCCTCTTCTGGTAAAGCAGAAGGGAATTTTCTCTCCCCGCCTGGGTGGGGGCAGAGGATGCCAGGAAAGATTAAAAGGGCTCAAGGGCTGCGGCACACGTTTGGCAGGGCAGATAATGGGGCTGCCCTGGGAGGGTCCAGCAGCGCCCAAAAAATCTGCTCCCAGTATTTTCAGAGCTGGATCCTGGGGATATCTTGTCCTCCTGTATAAAGCAAGGCTCAAGTTTGGGTTTTGGGCTCGTTTTAGGAAGAAGGGAGCTCTGTTTGAGGGCAGGGGGACGCCGTGCATGGGCTCGGCTCGAGAGCTTCTTGCTGCCTCTGAGAACATCCTGTGGTTTAGCAGAGGGACACAGATCTCTGGGTTTTCCAGGCTGCTGGAGACGTCTGAGGTCTGAAGGAAACCACCCAAAACCCCTCCTGTCCCAGCGCAGTCATGTGTGGATGCCACGGGCTGCCTGGCTGGGAGCGTGTGTTTTCTGCGTAGATGTGGCAAGCTGGGTAAATATAAATCCGTGTGGTAAAGCCTGGCCTAAAATAAGCTGGGGCTGGTCTGTCTCAGCTTCTGGGAGCCATCTTAATTATCAAATATTGATGTGATAGTAGAGCTCAGATGCTGACATTTATGTTGGAACCTGGATGCGGAGGGGAGACAGTTTTCCCTTTTGAAAAATGAATGCCTGGTGGGGTGGAATGAAAAAAACAATGCAGGATGGCTGTGGAGTTGTCTGCGGAGCACACTTAATGCTTGATTAAATATTTAATTTAGCAGCAGCGTCACACTCTACTGTGAGCCATGAAATCTCGTTATGGAATTATAATTTCTTAAAAAAGAATAAGCATGCTACCTAGTGACCTGGCTTGTGCTATGTTTAGTGCTGGATCAGTAATTCTAAAGAAACGAGCCTCGAGTGTTTTACATTGAATATAAACAGTGGGAGCGAGTCTGTTTGGAGCCTGAATCAATAGAATTGGGTCAGATTCCTAGAACAGGGTGGTTGAGGTCTCTGTTTGAGGCAGCTGTGTTCTCTCACAGCCACATCCATCTTCAGCTGCTCTTTCCCTCAGTTACCTTTTCCTTCCCCGTGCACACAGTGGGGATCATTTAATTCTTCTGGCAGCCTCTCTGTGCAGTAACCCAGGTGCTTTCCTTGTTGCTGGACGCCTCGGGGCATGTGGCTGCAGGAGAAGGGAGCTGTCCCGAGGCTGGGCTGACCCCAGTGACCACTGCTCTCCCTCCTCTCCTCTCCCGAGCAGCACATCGCCATCCCGAGGCCCGATCGACCGGCGGAGGTGCGGACCTTCACCTTTTATCTCTCCAACATTGGCAAGGACAGCCCCCAGGGGAGCTTTGACTGCATCCAGCAGTATGTGTCCAGGTGAGTGGGGCATCCAAGGAAAACCCAGCCTGTTCATTTATTTTTTACCCTCTTTTCTGGAGCATCTTTTCCCTAACAAAGCTTAATGCACATTGTTCATTTTTAGAGTCTTTCTGAGCTGTTTTGATGTGTTTTTTTGTTTTTTGGGTTTTTTTTTTGGGAGCATCTGATTCCCTCTCAGGTCCTCTGTGTGTCCCCCACTATTATTCAGCTAACACCCCCCTCAGCTGTCCCCCAGTGCCAGCCTGGTGTCCCTTTGCAGTGTCAGGAGTACCTTTTGCATTGCATTTCTCTTGCAGCAATGGCAATATCCATTTGGATTGCCTGGGAAGCATACAGGATAAAATCACCGTGTGTGCTACTGATGATTCCTACCAGAAGGCGAGGCAGAGCATGGCACAGGCAGAGGAGGAGACTCGCAGCCGGAGCGCCATAGTCATTAAACCTGGGGGGAGATATGTAGGTAAGCAGCCGCTCATTTTGGGGCTCTGCACTCCAGCTGGGACTCAGCAGGCTCTGGAGGCAAATCCTGATGTTGTTGGCTTGACCGTGGCAGTCTGAAAAGCTCCTGCTAGTTCCTCACGGCTGATTTAGGGGGCTGCCCTCCTTGTGTTGTGTTGTGTTCACTTCATCATCACCCCAAAGCACCTGTGGCTGCCCAGGAGGTGTCCAAGGTCAGGTTGGAGCAACCCAAAGGTGTCCCTGCCCATGGCAGGGGTGGCACTGGGTGATTTGGAGGTCTCAGCCAGCACTGAGGGTTGTCCACGTGCAGTGACGTGGCTCTGGCCACGTTAGGTCACCTCTGTCACCCTGAGCCCTCCCAGTGTCCCTGCTCCTGGCCAGCTCAGCTGAAACTGCCACCAGCGTGTCACAGCTGTGCCCCACGGGGCTCAGGCAGCAGTGCCCTGTGCTAACAAACACAGGCACCAAAGCAGCCTGGCACAGCCCTTCTCACTGGGACAGCAGCAGGAAAGCCTTAGCAGAGGAAATAAAACCACGGCGAACAGCACAGGGAGCCTGCAGAGACCCAGGGCTCAGGGCCCTGCTTGACCTCAGCTCACAAACTTCGGGCACAAACAGTAACCAGAACACAGTTTCACTATTTTTTTTTTTTTTTTCCCTGAGGCAGCTGCTTTTCCTGCAGCCCATGTGATCTGCAGCCAGTCTCTTCTCAGAGGATCCGTGATGAGAAGGGTTGAGTTGCAAAATGTAGAACTGACCCAGACTCATTGTCACAGCAGCCAAGTGCTCAGAGCTGAGACAGGAGATAGTAATCAGGAAGGAAATGCATTGATTTCCCGTAGGCCAGAAGATTATTTTGTTTAGCTCCTCTTTGAGAACATTACAGTAAGTGCCTGAAGTTAAAGCTTCTGAGGGAGAAGATTCTCAAAGCAATTTGCTTCCTGGAAAGATGGAGCAAAACTTTTTAAAATGAAAAATACTCCTGGCTAAAACCTTTTACTGCCCTGAAATGGAGACAGAGCCGTGTGAAAGCAGCAGGGGCAGAGCGTGTGCTCACGGTGCTCCTAGATAAGATGTCAGTGTTTGAGGAGGTCCAAGAAGGAAGGGCTTGGAAGGACAGTCCCCATGTGGGATCTGCAGGTCCTGGTGTGCCAGCAGCATCAGCTGATTCCTGCCGGCTGGGCTGGAGGGACAGGGCTGGCTCTCACATTTCCAGGAGAACACGGAGCTCAGCACTTGAGTGCCAGCGGAGTCGTTCCAGGCAGCTCAGATGTGGAAAAATTTATAGGAAATGTTGAAACTGGAGAGCAGCAGAACTTACAGATGTGAGCTGACACTTGAATAAATAGATATGTAAATAGCTAGCTGCAGGTAAAGCTGCAGGGGATGTGTGCTTGTAGCCACACTAAATATGTGTGCATGCATCCACAGACATGCACGTGTATAAATATTTGAAAATCCTTTGTGTCCCGGCTTAACTTGGGTTTTTCTTTTCCTATCACTGCACATTTTGGCTCCAGCCTTTAAATGGAAACCTCCCAACGTGATGTTTTTACTGTTCATGACCTGGCAAGAGTTAAGGCAGTTCTAGAAAGCTGACGAATCTTCTCTTGTCCCATTTCTGGAAACAAAATCCAGCTGACCTCTGGATTGTGGGATGTTTAACGTTCGAATTGGTGTTGTTCCCCCTCTCACCTCCCCTCAGCCCTGCTGAGGATGGGTTGTGCTTCCTCTCCCAGCACTGTGGTGTATAAGAAAAAGCCAGGAAATGGGGCCTGGGTTACGCAATGTGCAGCTCAGTAAAACAAACAGTGCAGACAGTCCCCAGTATCTTCAGATGACTCAGTTGAAAGCGTTGCTTCCGAGCAATGGAGCAGTGCCCTGCTGGAATAAACCTCCCAAACACTTGCAAATAAATGCTGGATGTTGTTTGTCCTAGCGAAGGTCACTTTCTCCAGCCCAAGCGATTATTGATTGGATCTCCAGGTTTCCAGACCTTGGAACCCACACGTTTTGTTTTCAGCTTGGCTTGGTTTGCCTTTGGTAGCAGGAACCTGCTCCTGTATTTGAAGCAGTCCCCATCCTTTGATCTGGGCTCTGCTGAGATGGTGCGAGGGTTCTGTTCTTCTGCAGGAATGGGAAAAATGAATTGTTGGGTCGTGCTGTCAGCAGCCAAGCACGCAGTGGGGATGGAGCCGAGGTGCACTTGTGAGCCAGCTTGGTGTTGTCACTTATGTGCAGTGGAGAAGGGGTTATTCCATCAGCTCAGGCAGCGCCCTCATGAATAGGCTGATGGCCCAGATCAGCCCCATTCACGGGGTGTTTGGAGGGGGAAGGGAGGTGACCCAGCCCCATAAAGTTCCTATTGTTCTAAAAGCAGAAACATCTGCTGGAGGAGCGTTTTTGCTGAGCTCAGCAGCGGGGAGCTGCTCGTTGACCAGTTCTGGTCTTTCCACTCCGTATTTCCCACTCTTCTACATAATAATGCAGAATTTTCTTTTGGTAGGGAGGGCAGAAATGGTTCGATTAACCGTGGGGATACGTGCACTTGGGATAAATGAAAAGCTGGCAAACAAAGGGAGCTTTATGTAAGCTGGTGGCCAATAATACTCAGGTTTGCAGAGCTTGGTGTTGCTGTTTACTTGTTCCAAGCTTGTCATGAACCACGAACCTCACGGGATGCTCGTTCCGGCGGCGCGTCGGGACGGAGGGGGTGCGCTGGCGGTGTTTGTCCTTCCTCGTCACCTCGTGGCACTTCCCAGGGGTGTGATGAACTCCAGATTGGTGTTGACAGCCCACTGGCCTTTGCGAGGTGACTGCTGCACTTCACTATTCTCGTCTCATTTTAGGCAAAAAGGTTCAGGTGCGTAAACCTGCACCAGGAGCTTCCGATGCTGTTCCCTCCAGGAAGCGCCCAACGCCAGTCAACCTTGCCAGTGCAATAAAGAGAGGCAATAGTGCGATTTCCCAGAGACCCTTCAAAGATAGGGTTGTGCACTTACTGGCACTAAAGCCTTATAAGAAACCTGAACTTATTCTCAGATTGCAGAAGGATGGACTTTCTCAGCAGGACAAGGATTTGCTGGATAACCTTCTGCAACAGGTTTGTACTCTGATGAAGGCAACGATTTAGGTAAAGGGAAAAAAAAATGTCTTCTCAGCCCCCCCTCCCGTGGCAGTGGAACCTGTTATCTCCAGGCTGCAGCTGAATGTGACTCTGAAGGCTGTGGGGGACACAGTTCTCAGCTCCCAGTGCTGGTGCAGAGATAGCAGGAGCTTCCCGTGGCTACGCCTCAGCTTAGGGGGTGCAACCAAGCTGGATGGTTTTGGCTCACCAGATCAGTCCCTTTTAGAGGGACACTTCTGCTTGGTCATGGGGAGGATTCTCTTAACAGAGGATCTACAAATTACTTGATTGTAACCTCTAAATCTATGTTTTATCCTCATGGACATAAAGGAGAAATGCTCTGCATTGGTACAGGTTTTGTATATGAAGGAAAAGATGTCCCCAGGTTTTTTTGTACTCCTCAGAGCCTTTCCTGCTTGGAAGTGCCAGTGGTCAGGTGTGAAGATCGTGCAGCTCCTTGCCAAGCACATTATTTGAGTGTCAGGTGTGAAAGCTGTCTCCAAGCTGAATCAGTTCCTAGCACTTTGAGTCACATCAAAGGTGCCATTTTAGGCCTCGCAGTAAAAACCTTAATTGCTTTATTAAACACATCATGGCCATTTATTTAAATGCTGCAGCTGCCTTCTGATTGGAATAGATTCTGGAAAAAACTCTTTATTTTTTTCTTTTTTACTCCTTTCCATAAGGAGTGAGACAGGAGTTCCCTTTGCCCAAGGGCACAGGGCAGGTCGTATTAAAAACAGAGTCACAGCTGGCACAACTCGTTCCTTCCTTAGACTTTAATCCCAGAGCCTTTAATTTCCCAGCAGCTTTTTGCAGCACTTTTTCAATTCTCTCCCCGAGTTTCAGAGCAGAAAACTCTCTTTCTGATGCTGGCTTTTGAGGGATGCTGGTGCCCGAGCCCGGGCAGGCGAGCGGCGCGTGCGGCGCCGGCCACGGGGCTGATCTGGCTGTGAACGTGATGCTCGTAAAGTTAATCCCTCTCAGCCCTCCCAGGGCTCCCATCCACAGGCAGACACAGATAAGCTAAAAATTACAGGCTGTGTTAAAGCTACACAGCTAAATCTGTCTAGGTGTGGGTTTCATTGTGCTCTTGCATCTCTCGCAGGACTCCGTGTTCCTGGCGGCCTTTTTGCCTCATTTTGCAAGGTTTCTATTTTTGGGAGGGCTGGGGTGGAGCTTGCAGAGTCCCACACGAGCAAAACAAGGAGGTAGCAGCTCTCAGCCTCTGTGCAGAGAAAAATCCAAGTTGTTCTTCTGGGCTCCAGGAGCAGGCAGGAAACAGAGAAATTCTGGGAGAGTCGGTTTTGGGTTTTTTTTTCTTTTTTATTTTTGTAAAGGAGAACCTGGATTGGCTTTTGTCTCCTGGGTGTGTTTACAGGGATACCTCGATGTAAAACACAGCTCAAATTCTTGTTGTATTTTGGCTCAGGATTTTGGAAAGCTGACAGGACTGAAAGGAAAAACAAAGTGTTTGTCATGTAAACTGATAACTGGGCTTTCTATTTTTTGCTTATCAGGAGAGTTTGCCATGTTGGTTGTGCAGCCTTCTGCTCTGAAATGCCTAGATTTTTAATATTTTTATATTAGGTTGTAGCCTCCCTAAAGCAAGAGCAGTGGAATCAGCAGCATCTTCAGTTCATTCAAGACTTCCCAGTCCTTTGCTTGTTTTTGAGGCATTTTCCTGCTGTGTGGATAATGGAAATCCCTGAGCACAGCCACGTCCTGAATGGAGAACAGTAATCCCTAAACAGATGCACAAGATCTCCATGCACTGAATAAAAGCATTTTCCACTTTCAAGGGTAGCAGTCCCCGAGCTGAGGGGCTCCAGCAGGGAATTTGGGCTGCAGCTGCTGGCTTTGCCTGGCTGTGGGCAGAGCATTTGGCACCTGGGCCTCCTTATCCCTCTTCACAAACACATTGAAGGCTTTATTTTCATTTGAAACTTGCAGTGCTCTGCAAGCTGAGGTTGCCCAGAGAAGCTGCCCCATCCCTGGGAATGTCCAAGGCCAGGTTGGAGCAGTCTGGGATAGTGGGAGGTGTCCCTGCCCCTGGAATTTGATGGAGCCAAACCATTGCATGACACTCTGGATCACCCAGGAGAGGTTCACTTTCTGTGGGAGCCTCACTGGGGCTCTTTGCTTTGTTCCAACTCTGGATTTTCAGCCGTGTACCAAAGCAAGAAGTTAAATTTTCAGTCAGGCTGCGGAAAGGCTGATCCAAGTGGGATAACTCTTTTCCCAGGTTGTTTCCATTCTGATCCAGCTCTGCCCATTCCAGCAGCTTCATCCTCCACGCAGGGTTTTGTGGGGAAGCTCCACAGGGCAGGGTTGGATAAAATGTCAGGCAGCTGCTGGTGCGAGTGTGCCGAGCTCCCTGCAGTGCTCTGCTGGCTTGAAGCTGGAATTCCCAACTTCTGTTCCTGCCCTGGAGAAGTTCTCCATAAAATCCAGGTGGTCCCAGGGCATTCTCCTCACAGCTCCCCGAGGAAGCAGCTCTCTGTGGCCTGTTTTGTTGGCTCCTTAGTGAAAAATTATCTCCTGGCAATTGTTAACCAAGTTATCGCCCCGAGAGTTCCTCTTTGGCCATAAACTGCCCCATTTTGGCTGTGGGACAGGTGTGATAAGTGAACTGCCTGTTCCCATTAAGGCTTTATTTCCAGGTGTTTCCATCAAGTGGTGGTGTGCTGGTCCAGGCTCCCCAGGCTGAATAATCTCTTTTAGATATGACTTATTTCCCACTCAACTGGATGTGCTTTAGAAACTCATTATGAATTATTGCAGTGACGAGGCGAAAGGAAAGGCACAGTTTGATTAAATAATCTTAATAATAAGGAAATGAAATATTAAAGTCTCTCCTTGTTCTCTGACACTACTAACAGCTGCTAAGTCTGCTCAGATTTTGCCTTCATCTTAGCTCTTGTTTGGTCGAGGAAGTGAGAAAATGAAACCCTAATGATGGTTTTCCAAACTCCTTCTGTTCCAGGTGGCAAATCTGAGTGCCAAGGACAGCACTTTCACACTGAAAGATTGTGTATACAAAGAAGTGCAGAAGGACTGGCCTGGCTACTCAGAAGGAGATCAGCAGTTGTTGAAAAGGATCCTCGTTAGGTAATTATCCATTTTCTTCTCTGTGATATCATCCAGGCAAGGTTCTGTAAATCAGGGTGACCAAGGTGTATAAGTTGAGTGAGGGACTTATTTTGACATAATTTTAAACTATCCATCACCCAGGGACCTGTAGGAGTGGACTAAACTTGAATATCCAAGTGGATTCACTCTTCACATCATCCTGGGCTGTCTTTAAACCATTAGAGACAAATCCTGGGGGAACTGCAGGGAGCAGAGCTGGCAGAGTTAACACTGCTGCTCTGAAATCCTGGGGGATGAGGTGATTAAATGTCTCCAGCTCAGCTCTCCTTTGAAACTCTCCTTCCTTTTTTTCCACATCTTCCTGTGCAGGCTGAAGTGTTTCATCACCAAATCTGAGATTTGGTTGGAATCGTGGATGTGTGGAAAAGCAGGAGGTTGTTCTGTAGGGATAAATCCCTTCAAACTCCTGCTGGTTGTCCTGGTTGGAGTGTGATCTCTGTTCCCATCTTCCCTCCTGGAACAGCCCTTAACTGACTCAGTTCATCCTTACTGCTGAAATTTTTTTCCCTCTAGAGATATTTTCCTTAGGTGAAGCCTCCTGGCTGGCAGGGAAAGAAATCTCCCAGTTTTACACAGAATTCTGCTCTCACTGTTGATATTTTTCAGTGCCTTGGTACAGATTTTGTCATGCAGGCAGAGCTTTTACTTGTGCTTTATTTATTGCACTTTTGGTTAAGCTGAAGCACAGCGTGCTCTGTTTGAGCACTTCCCATGATTTAAAAGCACAATTGACTCGGGGATGAGACTTTTTAAACCAACAGAAAACTTAAACTCCAAGTACTTTGACATGCTCAAGGAAAATTAAAGCTCATTTAAATGGCCTTGATATGAAATTATAATTAAAAGGAAAAATACAACTGCCGTGCAATCTTCATGGCTTTCAAAAAAAAAAAAAAAACCCAAAGTGATTTTCTCCCTGTAGAAAAGCCATGTTTACTGCTTTTTCTAGAATTGTGGCATTCACTTGGGCAAGGGTCTAAAAATAGACCTTGGAAAGGATGTATTCAACTGTACAAACAAAGCCCTGCTCAGGCAGTGCAGGTAATGAGGCTCCAAAACGGGCAAAAAACCATCTTGGGTTGAAGACAGGAGAAAACCAGAAAAGGGCACAGGAGGTAGCGGGGTTTGCATCACCACCCCCTTGTTCCAGGTCCTCCTGGATTTCAGGGCCAGTGGCCACCCAGTGCCTCAGCAGCTGCAGTAATTTGCACATCTGCAGGTACTAAAGCTGGGTCTAACTGGGCTTGGCTTAAACCAGCTCGTTTTTTCCTCCTTTTTTATGTTTTCCATCCCTCTGTCACCCTGGAGGAGCCTGGTCTGTGGGAGGTGCCCCAGCCTGTGTCTGGATGAGCTTTCAGGTCCTTCCAGCCCAAACCATTCCAGGATTCTCCGAAATCTTTCCCCCGCTGAACTCGCTGCTCCTTAAATCATTAAATCCTTAAATTCATGACTCCTTAAATCCATAATTAACAATTAGAAGGTGTGACAAAGCCACCCCCCAAAAGCCACTTTCACTGGGTGTTTGGGCAATATCAGTGTCCTCGTGATCACCGTGCCCAGGTCCTTTCCTTGAGTGGATCTGTGGCTGCTGGGGTTGTTTTAAATGAAATTAAACAAAGCCAGGCCAGTGGTGACACTGCAGATGTCTAAATATTGCTGCAACACAGCCCAAAGTTCAAGCTGAGGTTAAAAGCCAAATCTTGTCAAGTCCTGGGTGTTATCTCTGAGATAAATCTTCCAATGTTTAAAGGATATGAGGGAGCTTTAATGCTGATTCCAGTTTCTTGTGGGAGAATTTAAAAGTGCGTTATTCAGGCTCCACAGCTCCTGACAAACTGACTGCAGAGCTGCTTTATTAAAACCTTTAACCCTGAATTCTGGGTTTTTCTTTTTTTTTTCAGTTTGTCAGCTGCAACTTGATGCAAGAGTAGGGCTCTTTTTTTTTTTTTGATGATTAATTGAGGGGCTGTCTGGCGTCAGAATTGTTGGGCAAATTTGGTGGGCTGGAAAAATACTCTGAGATCTGCAGAGGAGCAGAGACACAGCCTGGAGGGGAACTCAAGTGATTCTAATTGTACTTTTTGTTGCTACAAAAGGTGTTTTTTTTTTTATTTGCCCAATACCACAAATACAGCCCAGAGTAGCTCTGTTTTGCATGATGCAACTTAAAAGTATTATTGGGAAGCCCAAAATGTAAATCCTGGTGGACCAATAATACCTCAGGAGTTCCTGTTATAATGCTGCTTTTCCTGGACCCAGAGGAGCTCGCTGCTGAAAGGGCTCCTGTTGCCATAAAATGTTGTTTTAATGATGCTAATGAGTGGGAGAACTTATTCCTCAACATCTGAGCTTCAGTTTCAGCCCCTCTTCAGTGAGCTTTGCTTTCTGAGTTGTCTCAGAAAGCAAACACTCAGCAGAAATTTGTTTAATTAATGTCTCCCTGAGCTGTATTTCAATCAGCAGGAATAATATCTGATATCCTCTGCACCTTACAGTTCCATGCCACTTTCGCTGATCTCTGTGTGAATTATGTTTCTGAGGCTGGAATTAATTTGTTTTAATTCTTACGTCACCAGTTCAAGAGAAAAAAGGTAAAATTGTTGAAAAAGGAGTTCCGTCCTCAACAGGGAATCCTTTCATGTGTCCAGGAGCTCAGCCTGTTGGTCCAAGGTGGCCAAAGAGCCACAAAATGATGGGAAAGCAAGAAGGAGATGAGGAATTCCAACTGGTCACTGATGTTTTCCTGCAGTAGTTTTCTCCTTCCTGGGTTCTGTCAGAGACCAGAGCCCGGAGCTCCTTTAGGCAGCTCCAGCAGAGTTGGAGCCTGGGAAGAGCTGGAGGTGTGCAGTGCCAGCTGCCCCTGGCACGGGTGTGAGCAGCCCCTGGTTGTGTTTTGCAGGAAGCTGTGCCAGCCCCAGAACAGCAGCGCTTTCCAGGGAGAAGCTCCTTCCCTGAGCCCTCCGAAGGATACCCTCAACTCCAGCTCTCCCCCTCAGGTGGGTGATCCCCCTCCCAGCCCCTGGGTCCCTGGGCTCCTGATGGATTTGGCTGCTGGGTCCAGGCTGAGCTGTGCCTGTCTGCACCCTGTAATCACCTGCTGCCGGGTCAGGAGGTCCTTGGGGTTTTATTTCTCTTTTATTAAGTTGCAGTCTCATTCTGGCTTTCCTCAGCATCTGTTTCTCCTCTGGACGTGGCTCAGAGAGAGCCTGTGGGGAGGATCTCCGACAATGAGGCTCAGGTTTAGTTTTAAGGGCTAAATTCCTTTTGCAGTGCCTCCATCCCTCCTGGAGTTCCTGGGAGAGCGAGCTTGTGTTTTCCTCATTACTAATAATTGAGTGGAACGAAGCTGTAATAAGCAGCTCCAAACATGGCTGAGTTATGAAAACCCCTGACCTTTTGCAGCCTAATTGCCGTGACAGACCAGGGGCAGGTTGGGCTGCTCCTGGCTGGGAGATGCCAGAGCAGGGAGCTGTGAAAAGAACGCTTTGCCTGCTTTTTCCATGGCCATAAACCACACGGGAGCCACGTTTGACGCGTGTCAGGCAGAGCCCTGTCCCCACTTCTCCCAGTATCTCCCAGCACAGGCGTTGCTGGCGTTGTGAAATGCTCTGCCTTCCCTTCTCCCCGTGTGGGTCAGCCCAGACAAGTTGGGTATTTATTCTTCTCCTGCCAATGGAATGTGTAATGCCTGCTTGTCTGGACAGACGCACCGAGGATTAGTGGCAAAGAATATTAACAGGTAAAGAAATTATGTGCTCTCTGGCACTGAGAGAGAGGCAATTCTCTGCTTGAGAACAAGGACTGTGTAACTTGTTTGCCAGGTAGCTGATTCCAAATCCTCTCCTGCTCTGCTGTGGGCATGCTCCTGATGAATGAAGAATGATCACCTCCGAGTTAGCTCGGAAAGATCCCGGTCTTGTGTCATTTTTTAAGGTTGAAAACTCATCTTGTTCCTCTGGCTGTCCGTATTTTAAAGATTCAAAGTCTTTAGGGTGAGGTTTTGATCTCTCAGAATGACCCAGCTGAAACTTTGGGTGGTTGGGTGGGTTGGATTTAGAAAAGCCTGGTGAAACAGGGACAGTCCAATGTGGAATATAAATGTTTCCAGCATGATTCTGTCGTGTCAGACAGCAAACCACAGCGTTGTGAGCTGTCACTCTTTTAATGCTCTCTGGCTGTAGTTTCTGTTTAGAGAAATGGTTTGTAATGGGTGCAGTGCCAGCAGAGGATTGGGATTTGGTAGGCTGGAATGCAGAATATTTTGGGAAGGTTCAGCTGCGCAATGAAGGTGAAGAAGATGGCTCTGGTAATTCTAGCAAATGGATGTATATAACCCTCCTAAGCAGAGAGATGAGTTTGGAGAAGCTGGTATTTGTTGTTTCTGGGGACAAGGTTGTAAAATGTGGCAGATTTTTGAGCTGTGTCACCTGTTCAGAGCCCTGTGGACGGGGATGGCCCCTCCTGGGGGAGATGGACACCGGGAGCTCTGGGAGGTGATGTCGCCAAGCCGGTCGGACGTGCTGTCCTTGCCCCTTGAGCTCAGTGGCAGAACCAGCAGCTCTTCCTTAATTACCCTGACAGGTGGAAAGAATTCCTGGCACTGAGCAGTGGCCTCAAGACCCCTGAGTTAGCAAAGAGAGAGAAAATCCCAGGAGAAAAAGAGGGAATTAGGGGCTGCTCCAGCCACCATCCAGCTGCATTTCAGCCACGGAACAACATTTCCATTCGCAAACACATCGTGATCCTGCCTGAGACAGAAAGAAAATAATGGATTATCCAAAAGAAATACACAGAGCTATCACTTGTTTTCCTCTGGGCACGAAATAATCTTTGGCTCAGAGCTGTTGCAGCCCCAGAGCTGCCAGGTGGGCACACACTGAGGGCTGGCTGAGGTGGTTTTGGCTGGGCTGAGCCTGATGGATGGGTTCTTCCATGGAACAGCTTTTCCAGGCTGGAGGCAGCTGCCTCCGAGGTATGGGCACAGCTGGGAACCACTTCCTTCTCTCCCCTTGCTCAAAGAAGGGCTGCTCAGGTCGCGTTGGCCCCTGTGACGTGGCTTTCTAGATGTCCCCTTTCGCCTGAAATTCTGAGAACTGAGCACTTGGCACTTCCTCCCCTCTGCCGGGCAAGGCCTCGCTCTTGAGAAGAGGAAGGAGCGGGGAAGGGGCGAAGCTCTTGGCCACAGAGCTGGGAATAAAATGCATAAAATGCAGAACTGGTGAATCCCTCCCTGCTCCGGAGGGCTGAGCACGTTTCTCCTTCACAGGGACTTTGTCAGGGTGCTCAGGACAGATGTTTTATCCCAGAATTGTTTGGGTTGGAAGGGAGATTAAGGATCATCCAGTGCCAGCCCTGCCGTGGGCAGGGACACCGGTGTCCCACCTGCTCCGAGCGCTGTCCAGCCCGGCCTTGGGCACTGCCAGGGATATTTCCACTCTCTGAGCGGGAGAGGGGCTGCAGGGTTTGCGTTCCAAAGGGATGGCTTCGAAAGAAGCTGCAGTGAGAGCGGGCTGGGGCTGTGTGTGGATAATGATGGGGGAGGTCAGGAATTGCTGATGGGATTCTCCAAGCTGTCCCACCGAGGTGTGGGAAGCAGCTTGGGATGGATCAGCTGCTTTTCCCGGGGATATTCCCTTCTCCCCTGTCTTGCACCACCACCTAGTGGCAACACCCAGCTCCACTCGCTCACCTTCCAGCCGATTTATTCCTCCTTTTTCTCCCCACTCCTCCCTAGCAGAAGCGACCCTTACCTGCGGAGTTCATCGACCCCCTGGCCAACAAAAAGCCCAGGATCTCGCATTTGGCTCACCGAGCGCAGCCCACTCTGAACGGGAAGCTGAATTCCTCCAACGGGAAGGACAGCCTGGCCCCCCCTGCCCTGCCCGTGCCTCTGCCCGAGCCCGTGGGCTCCAGCTCCTCCCTGCCGGCCCTGGAGCTGCCCCGGCCTCACGACCCCCTCGCCGATGTCAGCAACGACCTGGCTCACAACGGCAGAGACTGTGAGAGCACGGAGCCTCCCGAGAGACTGAGCCACCCCCTGCCCACAGACTGTGCCCAGAGCAGCAAACACAACTGCGGCTCCTACGTCAAATCCAAGAAAAAATCCAAAAAGCACAAAGACAAGGAGAAGGAGAGGAAGGAGAAGAAGAGCGAGGAGAAGTGCAAAGAGGAGAAGCAGAACTGTGAAGTAATAAAAAATGCTGACTTAGTTAGTGTTCCCCAGGAGCAGGTCCCAGGTGAGTGGGGGCCCGGAGGTGCTGTGGTGTTGGCTGGGTGTGATGCCAGGATTGCCTGGAGGAATGGGCACATCCTGGACCGTCCCAGCTGCTCTGGGGACCCAAATGCCAGCGCTGTCCTGCCTCCAAACCACCAGAGGTGCTTCCTCTCCACACAGGCCATCAGGTTTTTCCTGTTTAACCTTTCGTGCTGTTTGGAGCTGCCTCAGAGCGTGTCATGTTTCTCCTGGTTAAATTAAAAGCTGGGATAATCTGTGGGGATGAAAGGCTGGGAGCAGTGGGAAGAGCAGTGCAGCGCTTGTGTTGGCTGTTGTGATGACTGTTGTTTGGGTTTTTAATGAAAAGTTACTCACAAAAGCTTTTAAAATTGGCTACAAAAGGAATGATAGATAAACCTGGTGATAAATGCTGTTAAAGCAGTGGGGAACCAGCTCTTCCAGGCTGGAAAAGCTTCCTTACATCCCACTGGGGCTGGGGATTTATTTATCCAAGGGCTGACACAGCAGTGAACCTCCACTGAGGTGGGGTGAAAACATTTTCCATCAAGCCACTATTTCAAAGTCAGGTCCGTGCACCCTTAGAAACCAGAGCAGAGAATATTTCTTGGCTGATCCCATCCATTCCTTTTCCTGCTGTTTCCATGTTTTCTGCTGTTTGTTACAGCTCCCCAGGGCACTGGGACTTTCCCTGCAGCCTCTGGGAATATCTGTTAAATTCCTTTGTGCGTTTGCCTTCACCCTGTTACTATTTTCTACATTCCCCTTCCTGCTTGGTGCATGAAAATCCTCCAGTTGTGGCTCCAAAAGGACAATATTTTGAAGTGGAGACTGGTTTGCTGGATTCCTGGGAAGGGGGAGCTTCTCAGGTTGTTGGGATTGAGCTGGTCCCAGCGCTCCCCTGCCCCACAGGCTTTGCTGCAGTGACAAAATGCATTGTGATGGCTCAGCAGTGACTGCTGAGGACAGTCTGTGGGGCGTGTGGCACTGCAGAGCTGAGAACTCTTCCACTTTTGTGTCAATCCCAGGTTTTTTTCTGTGAATGTTGTGTTTCTTCCACATTGTTTCTCTTCCCCATGAGCCCCTGGAGTGGTTCTGGAGAGACACTCACACATTCTCTCTTCTTGTCTTCAAAATACCCAAATTCCTGGGAAATTGCTGAGCCTCCTCCACCACCTTTTCTGCCTTTCTTTGCTGTTAAATTCCCGGATTTTTGTTCATTATTAGGAGTTGGGGTTTGTTCCTGCTGCTGTTTTGAGGTAACAAATGCGAGCTGGACTGGGAGCAATCATAAACAGGATGTGGTCAGTCCTGCTTGGATCCTGGACAGCCAGAACTGGGATGTTTTCCTTCTGTGGGTAGCACCAGCCTCATCTGCTCCTTCCTCAAATTCCCCCTGGAGCTGTAGGGAAGCAGAGAATCACAAAAAGTTTGGGTTGGAAGGACCTTAAAGCTCATCTGGTTCCACCACCTGCCGTGGGCAGGGACACCTCCTGCCAGAAGTGGGAGTTGCTCCCAGGAATTTTGTTCCAGAGGCTCTGGAGGGACCTTTGGGGGCTTTTCAGTCAGTAGATGGCACTCACAGGCAAAATAAACCTCCCGTGTTCCTTCCCTTCCACCATCCTTGAGCCCTGTTCTGCATCTTCCACGCTGTGGTGGGGAGAGGAGGAGAAGCAGGAGGAGCTGCAGCAGGAATTTGGGGTTGGGATGGTTTCAGAAGCACGGGGTTTGTGCCATCCTCTCATCCTGCTCAGGAGAGCTTTTCTGTGGAAATTCAGAGGAAATTCCATCTTTTTAAGGATGCAGTCAGGGTACTGCTGACTCAGGTTGTGCAGCTGGATCTGGTGAGGGTTTGGAATGTAACACACAATTTGTGGAAAATATCCCTTTCCAAGCGTGGATCCAGCTGCTTTCCTCCTCCACATTTATCCTGCAGTGCTTGCTGGATGTGCAGGATGAGTCTGCTTTAGGTTTATTCTGTTCTTCCTTCACTTTCTGAACATTCTTTAATGCCTGGGTTTGTGTTTGGAGCTGCATTCCCCAAAATCCTCTCTGTGGTGCCCTGCAGGACCCTGGGTATTAATTCAGGAATCTCAGCCTGGGTATCCCCAGAGGAATCTCTCGAGTGTAGGAGCAGGAGAGCAGAAGGTTCCCCTTGCCCAGCTCGGCTCTCTGGGCTCAGGGCTGTGTTTTCCTCACTCCCAGTGGTGCTCTTGCTGTTATCCCACTGCAGGCACTGTTTATCCACAGTTAAATTCAGATTTTTTTCGCTGCTCGGTGCACAGGCTGATGTTGGTGGTGTTTTGCTGACAGACAAATACTGGAGCCTTGAACTTTCAGCCACCTTGTTGTGGCTCCTCTGCCTCTGTCAGTTCCAAGCAAAACAGAAATCCTTTAGAATTCCATAAACTGTATATCCCAGGCAAGTTTTACAAGTTTGAAGCTGAATTGCAGAGAGCTTTGAAGTTTGGGAACATCTATAAACAACTCTTTATTTTTTCAGGTTTAAATGGAACATGCAATAATTCTAGTGTACCAACATCAACTTCAGAAATGCCAGATTATTTATTGTAAGTATGTTTATCAGTTGCTTCATCACTTTGGGATCATGTTTCAAGCTAAGAAATCAATGTGCTGGGGATTTTTGTTGGACTTTTTGTGTTATTTGATAGAACTTCGTTAGGTGGATGTAAGAAAAAGAGTAAACCCAGCTCTGCAGATTAATAGTTGAGACTAAACTTGATATCAAAGCTGGTTTTTACCTCCTTCAGGAGTTCAAGGTTGCCTCCTATAAATTAAGTCCTTCAAGAAACATTTCATACCTTAGAGGGGTTTGTAAGGATTAAACATCTCCACGTTCCAGTTGGAAACTTTGAGAGGGAATAATCTGCTTTTGTGCTGGGGAGGGCAGGGCAAGGAAGGATTTGGGGTGGTTTGCTAATTCTTGCCCTCTTCAGAGCCAAGATCTTCTCCATAGGGCAGTGAAATATTCTTTCCTGGGAGGCTCTAACCCCTGGGTTAGGATCCGAGTTGTTTCTTGTCTCTTTAATCAGATCCCCTCGAGGTTAATTAAACAACCAAAGCCCAAAAATCCCTGTGAAGGAAGCCCAGAATCTGCATAAACGCAGACCTGTTCTAAACAAAGCTTTGGGGTGGGGAAGAAAGTTGTAGCTGGGGGGGAAAATTCCCTGTGCACGTCCCAGCCTTGGGGGTTGTTTCCATCAGAGTGGTTTGGCTGTGCTGGGATTGCTGGGAGGGCAGGGATGGAGGAGGAGGAGGAGGAGGAGGAGGAGGAAGCTCCAGGGCAGATAAAGGTTTCTGCTTTGGCTTCTGCTTTGCTGGGCTGGATCAGCCATACAAACAACCCCTCCAAGGTGACATTTTTTAGAGTTATTCCAAAGAATTTGGGTGGATGGGGGTGGTTTTTTTTTTTTTTCTCTCACCCACGTGCTGATCTCTCCCAAAATGGGATATTGCAGCTCCTTGAGCTCTCCCCAAAAAACTGGGAGAGGTTTCTGAGCTCTGGGAGCTCTGTGGTCTCACCCAGTGTGATCTGACTGGGCTGTGCCCAGCTCCTCAAATTCTGAGCTGTCACTGCTGTTTGATGCTTCTTCATCCTGGGTGGATGGTTCTTCATCCCAGCCCCCGGCAAGAAGTCAATTCTAGAAGTTTAGAGCACTTAAAAAGTTAAAGCACTGAAAGTTCCCCCTTAATTTTAGGCCTAAATCAGCTTTTCCATGTTCAGGCACCACACTGGCCCTGCTGCAGCCAGAGCAGGGAGGCAAATTAGAGCCACCACCTACCCAAAAAATGAGTTTTACCTTCAGAGAGGGCTGTAAATATCAGCTTTAATGGCTTTTTGTTGAGCAGAATAACTTCTGAAAGGCCCCTAAAGGCACATCAGTTCAACCTGAGCTCAGGACACACTGAATGTCTCTAGAAGGTGCTGGAAGTAGAGTTGCTGGTGGAAAAAAAAAAACAGAATAAAGCTCCTCACCGTGGTTTCTTGTGGCGCTCTTGCCACATAATCACCCTGCGAGCGTTTTGCAATGATGGCTCAATGCTTTTTGTGTTCCTTTAAAGACTCTTAACACTGGAAGCATCATATTCCTGCTGTTCCAATGCCTGGCACAGAGGCAGAACTGCATGTTCTGCGGGCCAGCAGGAGTCAGAGGAGCTGTAGCAGCACTATCTGAGTGTCCTCCTCCACCCCCAGCTGCTCCAGGCTTGGCTGTACCTGCCCATTCCACCCTATCTGGCAGAGATAGGAAGTTTTGGGAGCAAACATTGTTTGTTTTACAGGAGGTCAAGGCAACAATCCCCGGTGGTTGCCTCCATAATTTGCTACTTTAATGCAAGTCAGGGTGAGAGGAAACGGCCTCAGGCTGCACCAGGGGGGGTTTGGATGGGATATCAGGGAGAATTTCTTCACTGGGACAGGGAATCGCCATCCCTGGAGGGATCTTAATCCATGTGGATGTGACACTTGGGGATGTGGTTTAGTGGTGGCCTTGGCAGTGCTGGGATTTGATCTTGGAGGGCTTTTCCAACTTGAATCCCAGAACGGTTTGGGCTGGAATGAGCTGAAGCCCATCCAGTCCCACCCCTGCCACAGGCAGAGACACCTTCCACCATCCAGGGATGCTCCAAACGCTTCCAGGGATGAGGCAAACACAGCTTCTCTGGGAATTCCGTCCCAGACCCTTCACAGCGAAGAATTCCTTCCCCAAAATCCCATTTGGATGATACTGTGATCCTAAATTATCCACGATCCTGTTTCCAGGCTCATCCCCCGTGCTCAGCACCGCTGCAACCCGGAGAGAATCTCTAAAACCAATATCCCCCTAAAACCAATCCCCCCAAAAGCAGTCCCCTCCTCAAACCCCATTGACCAAAGCCTTTTTCCCTGCAGAAAATACGCAGCCATTTCCTCCTCGGAGCAGCGTCAGAGCTACAAGAACGACTTCAATGCGGAGTACAACGAGTACCGGGACTTGCACGCCCGGATAGAGCGGATAACCCGACGGTTCACCCAGCTGGACGCCAAGCTGAAGCAGCTTCTGCAGGGCTCTGAGGAGTACAAGGTGAAAAAGAGCTGGAAAAAGCTCCCTGTGCACACAGCAGAGCTGCAGGTCGCTGGTGTGCTCTCCCAGGGCTGGGTCGGTGTGTGAATTCCAGCCTCAGAACTGCTGGGGAACGTGCACACAGCTGACAGCTTCGGGGAATGCTCCTCACCC